ATTTCTACTACTGGTGGCAGTGCTGCCATATGAAGATAAAAATATGCACTAAGCCCTTATGAAAATTGCGCTAACGAAAATACGGATGATAAATTAGGAATTTTCTTCGTAAATTTAGGCAGTAAATATTTACAATAGAAATTATTTAGGAGGTAACTTTTTTGGTAATATTTTTAGGAATTAAATTTTATTCACGTGTTTGAAAACAATGTACATAGGACTAGGTACTTTATTTTGAACAAAAAAAAAACGATTGACTGATGTGATAACTTAAACTAAGCTGAAAAACTATTTTACATTGAAATATTTTAACTTGAGAAATGCTTTTTTTTTTTTATGCGAAAAAGTTGTCAAACGAGCAGACGGTTCACCTGATGTTAAGTGAATACCGCCGCCCATAGACATCTGCTACACTCGAGGGTTACAGATGCGTTGACAACCTTTTGAAAATTGGGCTCCGGCTACCTCACTCACCAGACGAAACGCGAAAGTATTTGTCATACTTCCACTTTACGCCGGTCTTCTGTGAGGTCGTGGTACTTACCCGGACGGGCCTGCCCATTCGTGCAACAGCCGAGGCTGCTGCGTGGCCCTACCACCGTAAAAATGCTTAGATTATTACTTAAATTTTATGTATATTATGAGAGGAAAGGTTATTTATTAATAAAAACTTTTATCTAAAAACAAAGGAAACATTACAGAATCGCTATTTTCTTTTTTTTAGAAACGACATGTAAATCCATAATTATTACAACAACAATACTGACAATAGTGAGGAATGAAAAGGGCAATTGGGCATGTGTGGGCTACATCCTGCTTGCAGTCCTACACGGCGGACTACCAGGCACGATAGAAAATAGGCCTCTTTATGCGTGCATGTTATCTATGTCGCTTCACTTTTATATAATAGCGGTTTTGATATTCATTATCACTTTTAAGTAGTATCGTAGTGTTATAGTTATGTTGTTTCTTAGTTTTTCTTTTATACTCTGTGTCTGCAATGTCCGTTTGTAATTTAAATTTCACGTTGTTCTTTACCCGATTTTATAATAATCTTGGCTTTTTATAAAAACATGTAATTTTGTATCTACAATGTCTATCTATACATCGTAATAAATAAATAAATAATTTGTCCGAATCTCTTGATAAAATAGCTTTGGTCTTTCAGGACATATTTACACGTTATCTAGATCCAAACTAAGCAAAGCTTGTACCAAGGATACAAAATAAAAAATAGCAAAATATTAGTATGTTTTGCAGTTACCTAGTATCCATAGTATATAGTGTTAGTATTAATTATTTACAAAAATAAAGTATATCTACTTAGATATACTTTTTTTTGTAAATAAACAACGAAAAACTCGATGTTCCACCCAATTTTTTTTGTATTGGGGATCGAACTAGCACCCTTTCACGCAAGAGACATTCACTACTCCAATCGTTTCATCAAAAACGTACTCGGAACAATAAAAACTCATTTAAGACGAATTTTTATTCTTACGAATATTTTTAGTTGATCTCGCAGTAGGAAAATTATTCCTATCCCGAGTGTTTATCAGATGGACAGATATAATTTCCTGCCCAATTACCTACTACCAACAACTGTCAGCACAAAATTGCTAATAGCTTGACTTTTTGTGGTCAGTATGAATCACTTGAAGCGGATTCAATACATTGGTGGGAATATGCGTGAAACAAACATTTGTGTCTTTAACGGCGTATAAATGTTTTGTACACATGATTTTTGCGTCTTACGCTCGGTTTCGTAAACATTAATCATCGTAGAAGTTAACTAATCAGCTGCCAAATCTATATCTTGATTGATATATAGCTTGATTGATCTATATCTGAAATGATCTAGATCTTAATGATCAGAATGTTAGTTAACTTCTACAATGATCAGTGTTTTAGAAACCCGGCGTGATCATATGGTAGAAATTAACTAATCAGCTGTCAAATCGGGGCGTCAGTGTTTTAGAAACGGGGCGTTAGTGTAATTTTATTAATATAATGATGTAGATGGATAATGATACAATCTGGGTTGATCGGTCAAGTATAGGGATTGTGCCGTATGCAAACTCGAGTGCATCATAAAATTAAGCCGATATTCCACATTGTCAAAGGACTAACGCGTAGGGATGCCGAAAATATATCGATATTTTTGGCCAATATATTTTAATCCGATACATGGATATAAAAAATTGAATATCGAAATCGTATCAAAAACGATATTTTTATACAAACATTCAAGGTTTTGAATAAAAGATAAAAAAGAACGGAAAAAAACTGTGGTCTACTAGTATTGTCGCGGATGCGGATTTGCATTTTGTACTATAATAATTATTGTATTTATAGTACAATTTGATGCTTCATACTTTATACTATCCATATCTTAGGTACAACATGAAGGTGTTACAAATAATTAATATTGAACTACATATTATTTTAATTTATAAATACATTATTGGCATCAACTAGTTACTTTAACTTAATATGTAAATAAAGTGAACAAAATTGAATTATAATCAAATTCCCAATAATTAAATGTTACATAACATGTCGAGTTTTCATTAAAAAAAATATTTGTCGTCATAAAAATTATTATCAATTAATCACATAAGTTACTTTTTTCAATTGTCGTTCAGCATTTTCTTGTCAATGAAACAATGAAACAACTATTACTAAATTTGCATAAATTATTCTAAACAATTAGTGCTGATGCCTGTCTAATAGGACAAGTCTCTGCGGATTTCTTTTTGACTAATTATTAATTTTTTTTAAACAATTCTTTATGTTTTTTGCAAAGTTACATGTTTTTTATTAGTTATTTTTCATTTGATTAAAAATTGATTTAAATAACTAAATAAGCTGTTTTTCTTTCCAATGAAGGTCTTAATAAATAATACACCTGGTAATTTAGATTAATAAAAGAAATTTGATTAAAGTTAATAAATAGTTAAAATTTTATAAAAATTTCTCATTCATTAAAATAATGTAAATTTGGTATAAAAATTACTATTATATTATTGAATCAGACTGAACTAAATACATTATTTGTTTAAAAACAAATATTTGACCGATATATCGATATATCGATTTTTTTTCGATATATCGAGGCCGATATTGATATTTTTATATACAGAGTGTCGTTACCATCGCGACAATAAATGAACACACGTCTAACGCTACTTGCCAATAATCATAAAAAAATATTAAGGTTAAACAAAATCCATAATTAAAAAAAATATATTTTTCAAACAAACTAATTAAGTAAAAAAGAAACAAAATTTGTAACATCCTATACAACTCACGCCACAGCGTCGCATTACAAGCCTCTCCTTCTAACAGTATGTTTTGTCTCTTTTAAATTCATTCCACCCATTCATATGCTTTGTGACCTTTACAAATGAACTTTACGTTACAGTTTTATACGTAAGGGTGTTCTAAAATTGTTCGTTTGGGAAAATTTAATAACTCGGTAAATATTGATGTTTGAAGAATGTAAATGTTTCATACAATTTTAAAAAGTTATCCTCTATATGTGTGTTCATTTATTGTCGCGGTGGTAACGACACGCTGTATAATAGGCCTTAGCATCTATGACAGATGATATAAGTATCGTCGCGGTGATATTTACGCTTGTGGCTGAAGAGGCCGATCCGAGAGGTGATCCCTCGGCCGCACCCTCGGCAAGTGAAGCCCCTCGTTGTTCGGGGTTGGCAGCTCTTTGTTTGCGCCTTGTACGCTTTTTTTTTTAAAAGATCGAACCAAGATTCGTCGTGCTTAGATTGGCCTTCTCGAACAAGTTTACGCCACTTGCCTCGGTCAGCTGACAGCTCTTGCCATTGCTGCGTTGGGATGTTAAATACGATCATATCATGCTTTACGTACTCTTTGAAGCGCAACATAGGTCTGCGAGCTCTCCTAGTAAAATTTGCCTTGGCAGACGAGTCTGTTCCATCCAATGCACATGCCCATGCCACCTGAGCCTTCTCTGTTTGAGGGTGGCAGTGAAACTGGGAAGTTGCGCTGCGCCTAGGACAAACTCGTTTGTCATGCGGTCTCTCCAGGTGAGGCCTAGTATGCATCGAAGACAGCGCATGTGGAAACCTTTCAGCCGACGTTCTTGCTTTACGTATGTTACGGTTAAAATTGCGGTCTTCTTAGCGTTGATAGACATGGAGAAATTAGGTCACATGCTCTGGCAAATTTGTCCACTAATTTCTGGAGCTCAGCTTGATCGTGGGCGATTAAGGCGGCGTCATCAGCAAAGAAGAGGCTGTCAACAATGAGGTCCTCTCTGTGAAGCTTGGCCTGAGCAGGGAGATATTGTACAGTCCATCAGATCGTGTGTGAAGGTGGACGCCCTGATCTTCATTACCGAAAGCAACTTTAAGAAGTACAGAAAAGAATATTCCAAACAAGGTTGGAGCCAAAACACAGCCTTCTTCTTCGATTCTGTACTCTTGTAAGGTCGCGATATCGACGTTGAGCCTTTTAAGTTCGATGTCGATTCCATGTTATTTCCACCTCTAAGGCAGGTGGGCGAAGTGACTTCCCCGCGGATGCTACTACGCCTGGACAGACAGATGACTTTATGGCAGCACGGGCTTGCAGGAAAAGCTCCCACAGGAATGACAAGTCAGTACGTGTGGTGCCGGTTCGGACGCAGGTGCCTGGCTCTCACCTCAACGGAGGCACCGTTCCCGGTTTATTACTAGTTTTCCTTCTTTTTGGGAACTAGATAATGGTTTACCTAAAGAATTAGGGTGGTGGGAGTGAAGGTGGGAAGGGAAGGGGGGGGGGGGATACTATCGTCACGGGACGGACGTGGAATTTGCCAGTAGTAGCTAGAGCAGCTCGGGGTCGCGTACCCGTAGTTCTTCCAACCAGCTATCGGACAGATAGCTGGTAGACCCACCCTCTGGACAAGATATTTTTATAAATATCGATATTTTTTTCGACTTTCGGCATCCTTACTTACGCGAGGCAACAATGCAATGGTAAATAGTAATCTAGGCCGCTGTCAATACCATCGAATAGCAGAGGGTATAACCTTCACTTCGGCGTTTATTGATAATTCGGCCTACTTACACGTCACCAAAAATTCTGTACGAATCGTTACTATTTTATGAAAAATTAATTATTTAAGTAAACTGGTTAATACTTATGTCTTAATTTATTTTATTATCATTTTTAATATTATTTTTTAATTTATGGTAATTTGTAATATTGTTACCTAATAATGGTAACATTTTCGGGACGCTTGCTCGCGTCTCATTTTCCCTCCTTTTCGTTTGCATCCTATCCTATATCTTAGAAGTGTTGTTTACATTATAATAAATTTGTTGATATTTAAATAGATATTCGCAATGAGGAAAGTTTCAAAAAATCGAAGTGATGATGATGTGATTTCATCTACTAATGGTTCGGGTTCTGTGGAAATTATCGAGAATCCTAACGCGGAGGGTTCCGTAGAAGGAACTGAAAAAGAATCTGAGGCTAAAACTGATGATAGCGATGGGAGTGGAAATGGAATATCAGAAGTTGAAAAAGAAAAGGACGAAAGTCCTAAAAAAGGAAAAGGTAAAAACAGTAGACCTAAAAAAAAGAAAGCAGGCAAAACAAAAAAAATAGTACAAGAAGCAGAAGAAGAAAAGGAAGAAGAGTATGAGGTGAGCAAAAATAGTTGACATTAAACCTTGACATTTTTATTTATAAATATTTAATAAATTGTAACTAATTTATGAAAATTTTTGTTTCAATTAAGTAACCAGAATGGGTTGCTTGTAAACTCTACAATGATCTCAAAAATTTATTGATGAACAATTTGGCAGGTGGAAAAAATTGTAGATTCTAAGAGAATAAAAGGGAAGCTACATTACCTCATTCATTGGAAAGGTTATTCTTCAGAAGATGATACATGGGAACCAGAAAATACTTTATCTTGTCCTGAGCTAATTAATAAGTTCAATGAAGAAGTGAGTATTGAAATGATGATTTATTATATACTTTTCCCTCTATTTTTTTGTTTCTTGACTAGTGTCAACTAGTGTATAAGATATAACTTCCATATTTTATGCATTACCACACTGAATAGTGCTAGTCGCTTATATCTGTACATTAAGCTAGGATTTTGTTATATAAAAGTTCCTGCTAGTATAAGAAAACAAATTGCCAAATGTCAACTGTTGGAAATGAATAGTTTTGGAGATATTAATTGTATGTAGAATTATATTGAAAAAAGACTATATTCACACCACATACTACTTTTGCATAGAGTATAATGTACATGTGGAATTTTCAGGGAAGGTCAATTATATAGGTACATGTAGGAAGGGGTTGGGGAATGGTGTGGCATAGGAACCTCCCTAGGGGGGGGAGAGGAAATTAATCGGAATGCTTATTTTTTTAAAAGGCAAATAAAAATCTTTAAAATGTGTAATTTTTTTTACACATAATTCCTCCCCCCCCCCCCCCCCCCCAACCGAATTTTGAATATTGACTCCAACCGAAATAACGGGGGTTATTTTGGTTGGAGTCAATACTTTTATCTTAAATTGTAACCTTACTTTTATGTCCCTATTTTCAGCAAACAAAGAGTAGGGGAGTAAGAACCAGTACTTCTGCCTTAATTCTAGCGCTGCGGGAAAAGCAGCCCTGTTACAAAGTCACAGGCAATCCCGATCCCCTCCGCCTTAGTCGCTAGGGGGTGCGTGATACCTGCGCGTTGTCATATAAGCCGAAGGTGTGGCAGGTAGCGTGATTGCTTGTGACTTTCTTACGAAAAGGTGAAGGGGCTGTCATTACTGCAGCACTGGAGATAAGACAGAAGCACGGGTTCTTACTGCCCTACCTAAGGTTACAATTTAAAAAAAAAGGTAACTCCAACCGAAATAAAGGGGGCTTAATCCTATCCCAAAAAAATTATAAAAATTTTTGAAGCCAAGTCCCCCCCCCCCCCCCCTGCACTTATGACACCCTCTCGCGCCTCTCTCCTCTTCCTGGCCAAATTCCTACCAATTCCTACCAAATCGCGAAACACTGACATTTTGTATTTCCCTCATTATATTATAAATTTAGAAGTGCACATTATCATCTAACAAATTTTAAGTTATACATTGTCATGTATTTGTATAAAGTAGTCGAGTTCATTAAAATGTATTTAAATTTTATATATTACAGAAAGAAAACTCTAAGAATAAAGATGCTGCACCTCAGCAGAAGAAAAATAACAAACGAAAAAGTAGCGTGAAGAATAAATCATCACCTAAGAAACCAAGGAATAACAAGTGGGACAGTGAAAAGGCTGATGAATCTGCTGAGTATGAGGTATGCATGATATAAAATTTTGGCGAAAACCTTTCACTTGTGTCTTGATGAACATGATATGGTAATTTAATACTTTTTTATTATTTTTATTACGAAATCTGTATCTAATCTAAACTTATTATGTATATCATAAAGTAATTAATTGTTCTATAAGGTATGGGTTAATATTCTATATTAGCTACTAATTATTCATTTACTTGCATTAATTATTGTATTACTTGCATTCTTGTTTGATCAGCGTCTAAAAATAGAAATGATTATGAATATTATTTTTGGATAAACCATTTATTGATTCAAAGTTAACTTTTTTGTGTCTATCAAAGGTTGAACGCATTTTAGAAGTACATCATAAGAAATCTGGTAAAAGAGAATTTCTCATTCACTGGAAAGGATGGTCCAATAAATTTGATTCATGGGAACCTGAAAGCAATCTTAACTGTCCAGAACTAATCAAAAAATTTATGGATAAAGTAAGTAGACAGATATTTTTATTTATGAAATTTAATCTTATTCTTCAATTTATCCTTCTCTATGTTTAATTTTTTTCAACTAGGTAAATGCGGCTCGCTCATCAGACTCGCGAAGTTTACGAGTAGCTCCTGAAACAACAAATCGATTTACATTGCAAGCTCCATCATCTGGACGACGACTTAGTAAAAGGAAAAACCAGCGCCAACGGTAAAATTTATTATAAACTAGTCAAAATTTTAAAGCTTCATAAAGACATAGATGTAAGGAATGCAACAAAGGAAAAGCAAAACACTTTACATGTAACTTAATTATTTGAATTAGAAGAAAAATAAAGAGACTAGCAATAATGTTATGTTACTATTAATATTATGTATCTGTAACATGATAATTTTGGTAGGTGAATTTCAACGAGGCTTTCTCGACCCTTGGTTGGTTTCACCCTTATGAAAATTGCCATTAATGATTTCCTTTTAAATTTTTTTTCTCAATTCAAGTTACAAAATTTATTACATTAGCTAAGTGTTTACGAAAATAATAATAATTAAAATAAATTATTAAACAAATGTAAGTTTTATTCTGTCAAACCACTGCTACCGTAATTCAAAACAATGAACTTTTCTTTTATCTTGGCATTAACTTATAGTATGAAATATCTAGTTGTATTTTATTAAGAATTTATGTAAGAAAAGTGAGTTATTGGTCTGCTAAGAGTTTAAATGCCACAACTATGGCAAAAAAGCCCTGGTCTTCTTGTGTAAAAGTGGAAAACCATATTTTTCTATAGTTTCGTTTTAGTATAGTTCTTCTTTACATATGCCATATTGTTCTCAACCAAGCATTTAAGACAGGCATGTTTTAATGTTACAGAAAGCAGCCAAGTCAATTCTTGATAATTTGAAATATGAGTGTTTAGATGATTTCGAAACGGTTCAATGGTTATAAAATCTGGTGTCTTATGAATACTCTTCGTAAGAAAATGTTTTTACGGTTAACTTTACGTAAACAATCTATATAGAATATAAAATAAAATAGAGATATTTAAATAGAGAATTAAAAAACAGACTGAGATTAAGAAACATTGATATTGAATACTTCATTCATTTCTTTGACAAATTTAGAGGAACAAAAAATGTTTAGATTGCACTCAACATGAAGTTGGATATTGAAAAATATTCGATGCTGCCCGGGAGCACTAGCCAAGGAACTTGAGATGATTTCTCCAGGAAGTGGTTTTTTATATCACTAAAGTAGTCCCCTAGCTAATGTCAGGAGTCGGCTATCACTTGTAAGCCAGCATTTTTGATATGCACCTGACACCAGTTACAATGAATGATTTTATTTAGTGATTCAATTTATAGCAATTTATTATTCACATTAAAATAACTATTATGAACAAACCATAAATATTTATGGTTTGTATTTCTTATAAATAATGATAACACTGTCAGAAACAAAAGTACAGTAGTTAAACTGTTCTTTATATTATAAAGAAATTAAGTATTTTGTCAGGTAGTTTAATATATTAAATATAAAAACTTAGCTATCGTTTATCACATGTCATGGGTACAGTTTATTATAGGTTTACTCATATTTTCATTGTATATATTGTTGTATACTCAACACAATTGTTTCAAAACATTCAGGATCATATATAATTTATTATAGATTTATTCCACACACTGAAGGATTCGGGCAATTTTTTTCATTATTATATTTTTTTTAATGAACAAATGATTACAACACGGTTACCCTAGCGATATGCTATATTTTGATATTTTAGTAAACTTAAGATTAAATATTTTGCTTGAGTAAAAAAATCGTTTTTATTACCCGAATTAAAAAATACAACACTTATATTTACGTTATTAAAGTTATATGTAGCAAAAATATTCTGTATGAACATATGTATATATATTTTAAACGTTATTTTGTTTTTGTTTCAGGGTTCGTTATGATAACGCTGAATAAAGTTTTTATTGTGTTGGTTGCTTCAAATGTACGAAAGTTTCGAATAGGTACATATAATTGCTAACTGCGTATATATTGCATGTTTATATTTAACTCCTAAAAAAGAAATTGTTCTGTCGTGTCTAGTTAATGAAAAATTTATTATACTTTCCATAATTACGAGTTTGTATTTTTTTTTTCAAACAGTTCTATATTGACAAATTAATGTTATTGACAAAAATAATATATACATTTCTAGAGAATCATTGTTTAAATTTCTAAGAGTACAGTATGATGGTTTTATCACGTTATGTTTCGATTGTCTGTAGATAGTTAAGAAATTTATATTATTTTCATTATCATTTGACATATTTACTAACGTATTATATTTGCGTAACATTTATGACGTTTGTTTAACACTAATCAGGATCTTTTAATTTAAGGCTTATTTGAAAATTAAGAACTTTATCATGGCGAGTTGTTAATCAAGTTTACAAAAGGAATATAAGTGCAATGAAAAACATTTCTACGGAAAATGTAAAAATTAATTTCATATTTTGTTTTTAGTGCTCGTTTCCGCACTTAGATGTAAATATTAAATTGACATTTAACTGTAGTCCAAGTTATTAAATTGACCAAAGCTATGATGGTACAACTCATATTAAACCTCCAAGATTATAATTCTACCCCTATATATAAACAATATTAGAGACCCGCAAACTTTGCACTGTTAACATTAACCTAAAATTATTATACAGAACGAAGAAAATCTATAGCGTGATCACTACCAAACTTCATAGGATTGCATCAAAATCGGTCAACCGCCTTGTAGTCTATAGGGAAATTACATGCACACATCGATTAAACTAAATTTGTTTGACTTAATTGCAAGTAATCGTTCACACGTACTGACCCTAAACCTTGATCATCCACTCTAAATTGGTTAAACGAGGCGGCCAACAGTAGCATATGACAGTAGATAATTCAGTTATAAATTTTGCATTAGTTACATTTTGAACGGGGAATAGAAAGAAATGTAAGGAAGATAATGGGCTAGATAGATATATTAGAATCGTGAGATCTTGAGAGAATTCAAACAGCGATGAAAATTATCGAAGTGCGAAAAACGTTATAGACTGGAATGGAATGATCAACTGAAATAGGATAGATATAACCGTGCAATCGATTACAATGGCTTCGGCTCTATTGGTATGATTTCTTTGTCTCTCTCTATTCATGATTACTTTAATAAATGTTATAAATTGTTCCTAAGATATAATTATGTGCCTGCACATTTTCGTAACTGCTTTCAAGCAAACCTATCATATGCAATAAGAGTTTACTACTTTTAGACTTTACCTACTTTCTTTTGTTTACATTTGAAATAAAAATGTAATAGATATAATTTCGAGCAAATTCTGCTCAATAAATATAAGATATTATAATTCAAGAATTTAAAAATATTAAAGTATGTATTGTAGATATAAAACTTGTATGTGTTTGTCTAGAATAATTGTATTAGATGACTTTAATTTTTAGGATAGCTTTTTGTTAAAAATGCAATACTTTTATTTGTTCATGATACTTTTTTTCTAATGTATCTATTAAATAATAAAGTTTTTAGAACATTTCATTTTAAAAATAAGAAGGCGGCATGATAAATTATAGATATTAGAAATTATTGTGCGTATCGTGTTATTTCAAATATCAAGCGAATAATTTTACCAAAATAGTATAATAATACTTTTTGACTACATCCTCTATAAATAAATTTTGCAAAAATAAATTTTATTTTTTTTCCCTCGTCAAAACTATTTGTTATAATACCTATAATATACGGTATCCGAGCAGCCGTACGACTTACCTGTCCGCAAAAAAATAGGTCCACATAAGAAATTGGCTTTTAAAGAAAAAAATAAAATAAAATAAAAAATCACACATTTAATCAATCGAAGTGTGTACCTACCTACCATTATTATCTACAAACTTTCGCCATTTTATTGGCAGGCATTGATCCTATTCCTGAGTGAGAATCGATAAAATCTTTGAAGGCGGTTAGGACTTTTTTCTTTGCAAGAAATTGTTCAAATTGCGAAAAAAGTGGTAAATCGGTTGGAACCAGGTCTATATGTCGGGGACATTCCAATCGCAGCTCCTCTAATTTAGCGACTCTGTAGTGAATTCTGAGGTCTAGCATTGTCCTGAAAGAGCAATGGGCTAGAGCAATTAATTGACCAGTCTCGCTTGTTCAAGAGCTGTTCCATCATAGTTTGCAAGCGTAGAAAATACAGATCCGATCAATCGTCTGGCCAGATATTCAAAAAATGTAATGTATGATCTCAGCATTGGTTCACCAAATACTCACCAGTAACTTTTTCTGAGTAAAATTTCGCTTGGAATAGGATTTAACCGGTTCTCTTGGGTTTAAACACAGTGATCAGCGTTTCTGAGTGTAGAGAGTCTAGTTTTCATCACAAGTAACACCACTATTTAAAATTCCCTCGTTAATGCTGTGCATAATAGTTTAAAATTCAGCAGCACAATATATTACAGATTATTTGGTGTCCACGATATTATACCCGATTAATATTTTAGAACGCACTTTACGGATGATGAAAAACATTGATACATATAACATTGGCCCTACCACCGTTAACTTTTACTAACTTCTGCATTTAGCTAAATAAAATATTAGTAATTTAATATTTAAATTAATTTACAACTTTATTAGTATCAAATCAAGGTAAGTAGTTTGAGAGTATACCAATTTAGATATTTGTATTTCGGATTCAATCTAAATTTTCTGCTTAAAATACCAAATTTCTACTTTCATAAGTTTTATTTTTTCGTACTTTTTATATGCAAGTCTGTTTCGTGTACGTCGGTAAGAGTCAATTATTCATAATTTATTAGCTGTTCGGTGAAACTGTCACGCGGGCGAATAATTTATTGTTACTGTACGAAAATTATGCCATGTGCTAATACTAATTCGACATAAATGATTATTATTATTATAATATTCATTGCGTTAAACAAATAGTCGATTTCTGGAGTACTCATAAACATCGTCAATAAAATATCCATATAAGGCTCGTATATAATAATGTTTAAAGCTGTTTATTAAAAATAAAACTTGGTTCGGATACATTTGAATATACATCTATAACATAACTAACAGTCGGCAAAGTAAATAATCCATTACTTTCTTACGTGATCCGTTTACTAGTAACGCGACGCTTACGCAAGGTCTGCGCAACGTTTACGCGACGCCCTCGAGATCGGGCCGCGGCGGGGCGGCCAGCAGCAGCGGCCACTCCTGGGGCGTCGCGGGGGCGAGCCGGCGGCTGAGCGGCGGCAGCACGAAGGCCGCGGCCGGCACGCGCTTGCCGCACGCCTGGCACGTCGCCTCCGCCTCGCAGTCCGCGTGGAAGGTCCGGGAGCAGTGCGCCGTGCGCACCGCCGTCCGCGACGCCAACCGCTCGCCGCAGCGCCTGCACTCGCCCCTCACTGCGAGGCCGCGCCGCGCCGCCGCCAGCGCCGCCGCCAGAGCGCCGTGCGCCTCCCGCTCGGCGATCCGCCTGGCGCACCCCCACACGCGCCGCCTGCCCGCCCCGCTGCCGAGTATAGTGAGCGCCACGCGCGGCGAGTCGCACGTCTTGACCAGCAGCTCGTCCACCGGCAAGTAGGCGATCGCCTCGAAGAGCAGCGAGGCGGGCACCTCGTCGACGCGCCGCAGCAGCCGGGTCCACAGCGCGGTGGACACGTCGGCCGGCACGGTGGGCGCGACGCGCACGCACAGATCGCACGCCTCCGCCACGTGGCGCGCCTTGCTGTCGCCGTTCGAAGCGATCAGTTCCAGTAGGGCGTCGAGCGCGCCGGACGGGTCTCCGGTCGCCTCGAGGCACAGTGGCACCGCTTCACGCGGACCCAGTTCCTTGACGATCGCCAGAGCGTCCTCGGGACGGACGATGCCCGCGCTGTTCTTCAAGAAACTCTTCGCATCCGCCGGACGTGACGCGCACAGCCGGCGCAAGTACAAGGCGGCCGCGTCGCCCTTCAGGCACGCCATGTCGAGCAGACACTCGCCGAATGCCAGGGCGGTCTCCCCGTCCAGGTCGGCCAGAATGCTCGCAATGGAGTTTTCGTAGTGATCTTTAACAATGGCGGCCGAAGCCTGTGACCGTAACTTTATGAGGGATCGGAGGTGCGGTTGCAGACGGGCCTTTATGCTGTCGTCCACCTCGAACCTCGATAGGATGTATTCGAAAAGTTCGTCAATGTCCAATGGGGAGGGATTTTCGATTTTGAAAAACTCATCTAGATTGTTCTCGTGGCGATCTAGTAGAACGTCGAACCGCCATTGTACCCTTGGCCTTTGAATCACGTCACGATAATTGACGAGAGAGTTATCCCTCTGCGAACGGAGGCGAGTCATGAGAGCCAGCCACGCGCGGTCCGACCGCTCGCCTACGGTATCAGCTGCCAATTCTTTAACGCCTTTTATAACTTCCTGGTCTAGGGGCAACGCCCCCGATTGAAGCTGATTACTAATAAATTCTAATATCTCGATACGACAAGTCGCGTCCTGTAACAACAGACTTATTTATATTATTTTAAACCTTTGTTTCTTACCAATGATAATTAATAATATAGATGACGCATGTCCATACTGCGCGGCGTTTAAAAATTGATCCGCTTTACATTATATGACAGCCGTGATAGCTCAGTGTCCGGGCGCTCGCCTTTAATTCAATATACTCGAGCAACCTGAGTTCGATCCCCGGTGCCGGCACCAATGAAGTTTTTAACTTTAAGTGCTGACTTATCACGTACTCCGCGGTGAAGGAAAACATCGTGAGGAAACCTGCATATTTTCGAAATAATAACAAAAAAATATATATATTTCGAAGATATGTGAAGTCCGCCAATCCGCAGTGGGGCCGCGTGGTGGACTATGCCCTGATACCCTCTGTATAGAGGAGGCCTTAGCCCAGCAGTGGGACATGTATAGGCTGTTACTTTACATTATATGACATATACAAGTGAATGTGACAGATGATATAGAAAGCATCACACGGAAACAGACAGCAATCTACAGAATTACACCAATTGGTGTAATTTGAGTGCTTAAATTTTGGTGCGCTAGAGTCATATCTTTTTTTAATATAATATCATTGTTGCTAACATTGTGTTCTTTCTTTTTAAATAACTAGTTATTGTAATCTAATATATTATTCTATCTAGTTTTATGTATTAATTATATTATGCTATCTAGTTTATGACCACGAGCAGTGAGTATTACAAAATCAGCTCGATTTCCGGCCGTGGACAACGCGACGAAACCAACATTGCTCAAACTTCGGCCGATATGAGGTTAAGTCGATTTTTGGGCTCGACACAAAGAATATTTGTTACGAATAATACTCGCAGCGACAATTCGCTGCCTGTCTTCACATACAGCGAATTTTCAACGAGAATTTCGACAGTCTGTTGATGCCCTAAATACCAATTTGTCAATTTCTATGCGGCGCGCTGACTGGAATGGCTATTCCCAGGGAGTACCCTAGTGATCAGTTCCCGTGGCGAGTATATTAAAGTGCTCTTGCCGAATAACGATGCTGTGTGTCTGGCCGGGGCATTACGAGAGTATCACTCACACCTGCGAGTTGGGGGCGATGGGGGTATCTGCTGTGTGTCATGTGTGACTGAGGCTTTACGCGAGTTGGAGGCGATTCGAGTATTCGCTGTGTGTCATGTGTGGCCAAGGCTTTACGCGAGTTGGGCGCGAAATGAGTATCAACTCTGTGTCATGTGTGTCCAAGGCTTTACGCGAGTTGGGCGCGATGCCAGTATTCGCTATGTGTCATGTGTGGCCGAGGCTTTATGCGAGTACCACTCACACCTGTGAGCTAAAGGCGATGTGGGTATCTGCTGTGGGTTATGTGTGATCGAGGCTTTATGCGAGTTGGGCGCAATGCGAGTATTCGCTGTGTGTCATGTGTGTCCTATGTGAGTTGCACACCTGAGAGTTGGGCGCGATGGCGAGGAGGGCTCGGGCCACTCGCAGGCGGTTCTGCTTGGCGAGGGGCCCAGCGAAGGGCGGCTCGCGGGCGCTCTGCTCCAAAAGTCGAACCGCCGCCACCGCGTCGTGACGCACCAACACCTCCAGCGGCGAAACTCCATTGTCCATCTGCAAATCGAGGTGGTTTCGACTTTACTTTTTTTTTAACGCACGACGTAAAAAGGAGGGCGTGTCTGTTGACGTGTCTGTGTCATCTTAGCTTCTTAACGAATGCACCGTTTATGATGCGGTTTTTTGTGATCGACACGGTTTTAGCTACAAGTTGTGTTTTGTTTTTGTTTAAGGGGTATAGAAATTGTATATTATTTAATGTGAAAAGTAGGCAAGCGAACATGCTGTCGTCGTGTCTTAATTAATGTTCACTAAATTAACCTTAACATATTCTCGGTTACGTAGCGTGTTATAATTTTGCTTACTTCTTCCCTTTCGTCTGTTTGCCCGTTTTGAGTCGGCGCAATCGATTTATTAACCTGAGGGGTTTGAATAGGGAAGGTATATACGATTACATAAAGATTTATTGAGCTGTGGTAGGGCCATACCTACACAGTAACCATAACATTAACAGTCTTCGCTGTAGAACAAATGTGCAGGTTCGTCCGGGGAAGTACCACGACCTCACAGAAAACGTTTAGTACAACTTTTATATTTCTGCGTTTCGTCTAGTGAGCGAGGTAGACTGGGTCCACTACATTGAAAGGCTGCAACGCATCTGCAACCCTACGGGTGTTGCATATGTGAATGAGCGGCGGTTATCGCTCGACAGCGGGTGAACCGCGAGCTCGCTTGCCACATTCCCACGTGAAAAGGATGAGTGCCATCCCTTCGCCAACCAACGGGAGTGAGGCCGCTGCGGAGCCACCTCACCTCGAGGAGCAGCGTGAGCAGGGCGTCGTGCCTCGCCAGGGGGCGCGCGTGCTCGGGCAGCGGGCGGCCGGCGGCGCCGCGGCCCGCCAGCGCGTCCGCGGCGGCCAGCAGCAGCGCGCCCCCCGCGCACCGGCACCGCCCCCCCCCCCCCCCCCCCGCCCCGCACCCGCCCGACACGTGCGCCGCCAGTGTGCGCATCGCGCCCCGCGCTGCCGTCTGCGGCGGACACCGTTCGTTGTTAGCGCATTCTTTCTCCATGATGGAGAGTCACGAAATGAAAAGTCCACTTCTGCTAGTAAGAGAAAAATCTATTACCAATCGCTGCGGCAATTGCGCCAACTCCGCGCCACAGGCCCCTCTCCCTGGTGAAAATGCTCGCGCGATGCGGATCAAGCGACGTTAGCGGAACCGAAGCCACAACCCTCTCCACGAGGTCTGGCTCGAAATCCGCCAATCTCTCTATGAGCGCCTGAGCGTACGAAAAAGAAAACCTCAGTCACTATTTTTATTTCTCAAATTCAATCTTGTGGCACTTACTATTCTATAAAGGCTTTCAATTTTTTTATGAATAATTAAACCGCTTCCTTAAGAATTTCTGCTGCACTTTTACGTGGTCAGCTCGAGCCACACCACGAGGTTAAGGCCACGGTCCTAGAAGATCGCCATGAAGTGTTTTATAGCTTTGTATTTCTTTCGATAATTCGTGACTAATTCAAGTTCACGCATCAGCTCTGGCTGTTGCGCGAACTGGCAGGCTCGTCCGGGGAAGAACCACAGCCTCACAGAAGATCAGCGTGAAGTGGAAGTATAATACCTTAGAGTTTCGTTTGGTGAGTGAGGTAACAGGGTAGTTTAAAGGTTGTCAACGCATCTTCTAACCCTCAGGTGTTATAGATGTCCATTGGCGGTGGGGATCATTTACCTAATGTTAAGCGCCTGCTCGATTGACACTTTAATAAAACAAAAGTCATCAAAGATCCACACTCTCATTGTTTGGGACACTATATGTACAATGATTTATATTAAAAAGACCCAAAATACTTTTGCGAAAGAAAGAAATAAAGAGTTAATAAAACCCCACCGGGCTCTATGTAAAAAAAAATTAAAGAAATCGATAAACAAAGTTCAGGAGGCATAAAGTTAAAATTATCATTTGTATTTCACTTGCCTGTGTATAATCAGGTGTTGGAGGCGTTTCGGAAAACTCCCCACGCACTATAGCATCGCCCAACGCTTCCACAAAGGCCTTTTCACTAGAGCAATTCTCCCAAAGACTAGACCATAATTCATCGCTGAAAATAATTAAAAAACCAATAATTTTTTTCAATGCTACAATTAAGAACGCTAAAGCATTAGACACGCTAAAACTCACATCAAGTTGAACTTTAAACACAGTTTAATGGCATGCACCGCGACATTCTTGTTGCTTAACACGTGGGGTTTCTCTGATAACATATTGACGATGTCGTTGGCCAATGTCTTAGCGTTGGGGCCCTGCGAGGAGCACAGCAACCTCAAGGCCTGCAAATGGCGGCCGGACAAGACGAACGCCTGAGTTCTTGCGATTACGTCACGCGGCCGTATCCGCATGATCCCCTTCCGACCGAGCAGTGACAGGGAGCCCTCCGCAACACACACCCCGGCTAGTGCACTCTCGCCCGCTTTGCACATCGCTAGGGACACACGACCGTCCGTCCAAAGGCCCTGGAAATAAAAAAAGACCGAAAAAACAGCGTTCAATGTCTTAATCTCCAACTCCGGTGATGCCGGCACTAGATGGCGGAAATTTTTATTGCAATTTGAAGTACCGGTTTAGAACGTGCTCAGAGATGAAGAAAAAAATCGCGAAGTATTTCGAACATGTGAAGTCTGTTAAACCGTAGTGTGGTTGCGCCCCCTTCTGTGTAAGGGATTAGGGAGGTCCTTGCCCAGCAACAGGCATGGGACATACATACATAAGCTGTTACTATAATATATAAGCTGAAGACCTACAATTTACTGCCTCCAATTCACGGCACCTTTTACATACCACGACCAATTTGTCAAATTTGTCCGATTAGTAAGTTAATTTAATAGAGGTCAAATTTGTACAGTAAATGTTTTAAAGAGGCCTTTAGATTTAATCGATTACTAAATTCGTTATATATATTATTATTATGAGAAACTAATCGTGCTATGCGTGTATTCTAGTTGTTTACCCCGTTTTTGCGCAAAGGGATTTCAACTTAAGTACCTACCTTAAATTATGCCCCAGATATATCCTACGGTAACTTGTCGAAAGAACTTGTAAAAGTTGTTGTCGTTTTCAACATCCTGTACACTAATTTCTATAGCAAATATAACTTTGACTACGTGCTCCAATTCCGCACAAGAGGGTAACCAAATAATAGGATTTATAACTCAGTATAGATATTATATAAAACAACAACTGAAGTATGGGTAATATTAAGTGCCATTTCACAAAATTTTAACTCTGGTTTTGCGTAAAAGACGGCAACGTTATGTATGTGTGCGTAATTACCCACACAAACAATGCAAGCAATAGCGAGGGTTTAGGCAGACTTAAAATCTTGAGCTGTTATAATTGTAATACAAGAGAAGAAAAAGAATATTTAAGTGATGCATTAGAATTACGATTTTTAGGCGTAATGATAAAACACGAATATTTGTGTGAATAAAATATGTATAAAAAAATTATACAAGTGAAAGTGTATACAAGAAAAAAGTATAGAAGTTATTATTGTTTTATAAGGTTTTGTACAATAGCATCGAAATTTTATGTAAGATTAAATTTAAAGCTTATAATTCAAATAGGGTCAGAAAGGAGGTGTGATTGCACATTCCTAAGTGTACATTTATATGGACAAGTACGTACAAGAAGCACCACGGATACAATTTTTCAATCAAGTTAAATATTCCAAAAATTCTAGCTACAGCATTCATACAGCTTCTTTATGAGAAAGAAATTACATTGAAGTAAATAACGATATAGTATATTTGCTAACCCAAAACTGAATGTGCTGTAAAGACAAGCAGACACGAGTGCTCTAATGAGGGTTCCGTTTTTCCATACGAACATTCAGGACCCTAAAATTTACGTTTAAATCTAAGACCCTGCTACGAACATCTGAAAGTTATAAACAAGACCTCTGTGTGACTTCATCGATTTTGGATTCGGAAACTGACTCCGAGATGAACTTTCAGTAAATGAGTTGTGGGTGATCGATCACTAAAGAAGAACATTGTTTTATTTAAATGTGACACATTAAGTTACAAGATCAAAGATTGGTTTATTTTTAAAACGAATTTAGAATTTCAGATTATTGCCTAAGATGTTAAATAAGGCGATAGAAATCTTATAAAATTACGTAAAAACGTGAAATGGCTCTTAAATCAATGAATAAAATGCGTATTGGTTAGGAAGAAATAATACCTTAAAAAACGCTGAAGAATACACGGGCTCGATGTGAGAAAGGTCCAATGGATTATCATAATCATCACCCCATAAGCGCAGATTTTCATCGGCGTCAAAAATCGCAAGGCTGCCGCCGAGCCAGCCCATCCAGAGTGGTATTGAATTAAGTTTCATTTTTTGTATCGGCCGTAAAGATATAGCCGTTCCCGTCACATTGACAGAGATCCATTGTAGTACATTAAACTGCGCACAAATGAGTATTCTGTTGTCAACTTCATACCATTCTAAAACAGGTAAGGAATCGGGGGGGTCTTCCAATCTGACTCCAGCCGCCCGACCACCGGCAACAATAATCACGCGAGAAAGTGTCGCCAAAGCCAAGATACGGGCATCAAGAGCGTTCATTGCCACAACTTCTCCTCGCGCACCAGAGAAAAGGCAGGAGACGCGAGCAGAGCGCACCCCTAGTGGTCTAGAGAACTTCATCAGCCAGACAGAGCCGCCTGTGTCAAGTGCTAGGCCAGAAGTACCTGCCCACGTTATACGTAGTGCGCCCCACGTTTCACCTCCTAGTGTCACACGTCTCAATATAACTCCTTTAATGCTTTCATATTGATGAACAAGGCCCCTTGCATATCCAGCTAAAAGCCGGGTACTGTCATTATTGTATGCCAAACAGGTTACCGCACCGCAATCCTCGTTTGAATCACAGACCCATCGTAAGGTTTGGTCTTGGAATGATAACAGGTGGCCATGGGCAGTGCCTACAGTTGTCTTCCCATTGTTACCAACACTTAAAGCTGTTGCTGCACCTGCCAGTGATCTTTCCTAAAAAGTAGGTATTAGGTATAAATTTGTTGTAATGTTGCTTGATAACTTATATCAAACAATAACAAGGGTAGAAAAAAGAAGTTTTAAGTATTACTGTAATGGTATTTTTATTTTTTTTTTAATTTTAGTCTCTAGTATAATTAAATAAACTGTTTATAAAGGAATGTTTTGAATAAAATATTAATAGCATTTTCAACATACTACTACAGATGAGTTTAAATCAGTACAAATTATTTTTAACAAGGACATTGATGACATTTTATTTAAGTTTATTTGTCAGTACAATATTTTTTTTTTCAGAAAATTATTTTGTGTTATTATCAACAGCTCAAGTTTCACAAAATATGTCATATTGACATGGGTTCTTACTCTATACATTGCTATTTTAACCGAGGTAAGGATTCACAGCAGTCTTCACTGTTGCATAAATGGGCAGGTCTGTCTGGGGAAGTACCACAACCTTACAGAAGACTGGTGTGAAGTGGAAGTGTTATAATTATGCATTTCGTCTGGTGAGTGGGGTTCCCAGAGCCCACTTTATTAAAAGGTGACAATGCATCAGCAATCCTAGAGGTATTGCAAAAGCCCATAGGCAGTGGATATGAGCTTTTGCAATCTATGTCTTTTGCAATCTATTAATATGTCACTTAACATCAGGTAAACCGCCAGCTCACTTGCTACCATCTCACATTAAAAACCAGTATGTAAGTACTTATATACATACACAGAGTAGAACAATTTTGAAATGCCTTGTATAATGTGCAGTATGGACATGCATCATCTTTATACTAAAACATGATTGGGTTCAATTAAATGACTTGTTCTTGGTTGCCCTGGTGTAGTTGGTCACTTTGCAACCAAATTCATCATGCATGAGTATCATAAAAATTTTACTCTCATAATTTTTTCGAAATGTGCCAAAAAAGTATTAGGTCCTTACATATGGTTTTATTATTAGCGTTCTGTTGTACTGACCACTTTGATCTGACATATCTCCTCTTTGGTTAAGAATTCCAAATTCAAATTTATAAATTCATTTAGCTGGTACATTTGAGTTTTGAAAATAGTCATTCATTTGTTTTTTTCCTCATTATTTTATTCTTTGGCGTAGCTTATTAGCACACAGTGGAAAACATGGAATATCGGTATATTTGCGAGTACGAATTCTACCGTGGCACCAGTGATTTAGAAACAGCCCGAAGGATTACACGGTACGGTTTTTTCAATGTTTTCGTTCTGGAAATTTCGACCTTCAGAACCAACCCCGTGGCTGGAGACTAAAGTGGAAAATGAAGGCTATTGTGGAAGCGGGTAAGTGATAAAACAGTATTAAACCACTTGAAGCAAATCAGGAAAGCAAAAGACTTGAATGATGGACACCTCATGAATTGAATGAAGCGAACTTGCAAACACATGTCGACTACTGTGGCGTGCCTTTGATCAACCAACACAATAATGAAGGGATTTTAAACCAAACATTACTTGTGATGAAAAGTGGATACTGTAAGATACTCGTAAGTGCTCTTTGCAATGGATGAACCTTGGAGACCCAGCCAAATCCGGCCTTAAACGAAAATTGATTCAGAAAAAGTAACTTGTGAGTGTTTGGTGGACTAGTGCTGGTGTCGTTCACTACAGCTTTCTAAAATCTGGCCAAACGATTACGGCAGATATCTATTGTCAGCAACTGCAAACCATGAAGTAAGAACTAGCTGCTAAATAACCGAAATTGGTCAATCGCTCTAGGCCACTGCTGCTGCTCGACAATGGAAGACCACACACTGCACAACAAACAACTACCAAGTTAGATGAGCTAAAATTGGAATGTCTGTGACATCCACCATACTCCCCGGACCTTGCTCCAACAGATTACCATTTTTTCCAGAATTTGGACAACTACTTAGAAGGTAACAAATTCAACTCCGATGCGGCAGTCCAAACCACCTTCAAAGAGTTTATTGATTCTCGCCCCCATGGTTTTTTAGTAAAGGGCTCAATGAACTACCTATGAGATGGCAAAAGTGCATAGATAACAATGGTGCATACTTTGATTAATTAAATATATTTTACAAAAAAAAAAAAGACTTTATATTCCTCTTATACAAAATGCCAATTTCATATGTAAGGACCTAATATAACTTCAAAAACCTCAAGCAAAGAAGTTGCAAAGACACAAAAGAATTTTATGAACTTGAGTGAAAATCCAGATTTAGATAATACCTTACTGCAGTTAAGTAAACACTAACTTGCTAAAATCAAAGATCCATTACAAGCAATTCTCCTAGGTATAGGAGAACACACGGACCTTATAGGTCTGTATTAGACCTAAAAAAACTGCAAAAATAGCTCTCTCACTAGTATTTTAGTTTTGTTTCTGATGGTTAAAGCAGTATTGTAATTGTGAGATTACAAACATTTAAAAATATAATAAAATATGCAATGTAACACTACATTAATTATAAAACATAAATACGAAATCTTGTAAATGGTTGAAGAATAAAACAAGTAAATAAAAAGTTAATTGAAGAATTAGGTTCTTTTTGGTAAAGGTTTTGGAACAGATTTTTTTCTCTTATAAATATTTTTACATTAAAAAAACATACCCATTACATAAATTTATCTAGCAAATTTAACACTATACAATTTTTTTATTACTTTGTTTTTAACATATACTCATGTCGACACAGAGCAATCCAACACAGACAGGTTAGGCTAGCTGGTTAAGGTGGGAGCAGAGCTTGCACCTTAGCCTTTGTGGTTATTTTTTTAATTTATAACCACCCAGAAATAATATCCCCACAAAGCAGTATAAGATTTAATATTAATTTTTTTTTATGATATTGTTATGAACACACAAAGGAACTAACGCCATCTAGCGTCAACAGTAAAACCACTAAAGAACAAAGACGACATAAAACTGTGTTAGAGGAACTGCTGTGGAACTATAGTCTCGAAAACCGGGTACATTCGCGAACTTTCCGGAATCACGAACATGTTCGTGCGTGTCGTGTATGTTCCAGGAATGATCTTTCTGGATTAGTCCGGAACCGGTCTCGGCCCATATAAAAAGCCGCAGGGAGGCGAGCAAATACAGTTCAGTTTGAGCTACCTTCGAGGCGACTACGGAGTGAAAACTAGTGATCAAGAGCTATACCAGTGAAACCTACAACTTGGCTACAATCTAGGACATCGTTAGTGCTTAGTGATTGGACCTAGTGCTTTGTGTTGGACCTAGCGCTAGTAAATAAAGTCTTCAAAAGAGTCAGCAGGTCTTTCTCTCCAAATCCTTCGAACCCCTAACATGTAACAATATGTAGGCAATATCTCTGAAAGATAAAGACTTATTTTCTAATTTAAAACAGTGAAAATTTTAATAATCTTCTTAATTGGTAGAAATTTCTTTATGATATATACTTTAAGTATCCTGTATCACTATATGTACCTTCCATCAAAGTAAAAACTTAAGTTTAGTAGTGTCTTTGTAGTAGTATTTTATTTTCACAATGGAGTTAATAAGTTTTAATATTTATTATTTATGATAAGTAGGCAATATCATAAAATTTTATTCTTAACATATACTTATGACTATGTTTTTTATTGTTCAAAATATTTATAAGAGAAAACACATGTGCCGCTAATCTGCATCTTTACCTTATTTTTTAATAATTTTTCCTAATATAAAAAAAAAAAAAAGTAAAACGAATACTTGTGCCTGTGTTAATTGTTGAGAAATAGCTTGTAAAAATTCGACTTGGAGTGCTGAACAAGTTGCAGGCTCTTTATTGATTTTGATTTTTTTAATTCCTTCAATTTCCTCATCTCCTCCAGCAGATAAAACTTCTGCTAATGTAGGTGCCTCACTGACTGGTAATGCATACTCAACTTCATCAAGCTGAAAATATGTGTCTAAATTATATGTTATGTTCTATTATGTTAGCTTTTTAGAAGTATATAATTGATATAATTTACTTTAGAAACTATAAAAGAGACTATAGTGTAAAATTATTTAACAATTTATATATAAATATATATATAACTCCTCTTACCTCTTCGATATCCACGTAATTAAGACTTTCAACGGACTCAATATCGGAATCTAATAATGATTGAATAGATGGAGTTTTTAACAAATCCATTACGTCCGTATCATACGATTTTATAGTAACATAGTGTGTTAAACACGTAAGTATATTAACCACTATTTTGTTTTCGTATTCATTATAAGCATATCGTTAATTTAATTATTAACAACATACGTTAGAGCAATCTAGTGAATACATTATTGCTTTGATTAATTATTATTAGAAATCATTAGAAATGAGTGATTACTATTAATACGGTCAAAATAATCTGATCTGACAATGACAATCACAGATATGATATAGATGCTAGCGCATGATGACAATTAACAAATTAATAATTGATGTTGATGTGACAGCAGGGTTGCATTTAGGTGCGGTAAAAAAGATAGTACAAAAAGTTTAAAAGCATAGTATTTGGCAAAGAATTATATTACACTATTATTTTCATAATTAATGCACAAAAAATAAATTATTTTCCTCGAAAACTCGAGGAGGATTGTTCTCAGGTTGAATTTTGAATAAGAATGGAACGGTCTTACTAAATTAATCGTACTATTAGACATCTATGAAGTCTATTACTTCAATGAGTGCAATATGCAAGTGACTGTTTTGGAAAGCGGAGTATTGAAACAAAAGTACCATTCACGGTAAGTCCCCGTTGACTGTTCATCGATTTACAACTATTTGTAATGTATAAATAGACAAGTGGTAAAATATCTTTGTTCGAGTTTTTAGTGTATTTAAATTTTTACTTTACATGAAGACGACTTTGGTTACATATATGTATTTAATCTTGACCTTAGAGCCAATTTTTAGTAGTTGGTAACACCGCCTGACGCCAACACTGGTGGCTAGTCGATAATATGGGATTTAATCTATCGAAGAAATATTTCGTTATATCGATATTTATAAAAATATCAATATCAGCCTCGATATATCGAAGAGAAATTGTCAATATAAGTATCTATGTTTGTTGTTTTATTTATTTAAAAATACGGCTGTCTGGAATATCGAATACTGCACCTCTGTAGTGTAAAACTCGATGGCAAGGCAAAACTTCACTATCACAGTCCTCTCGACGTCGACATCGACATTCGACACCCCCTGCACTTCACTCACTCACAGTGTTTCCACAATGAGGGGAAATTCCCCATTTGAGGGGAAATTAGGGTCCATAGGGGGAGAAAAAGAGGAAGACATTAAAAGGGGAAATTGCGGGAAGTCATGGGTAAAACCTAGCTTAAAATATTGCGGTAAATTTCTGAATTATTTTTTTATGGACTCTACCGTGGACTAGCGTGTTGCCGTATAAAAGAAACAGTGACAACGTAAAATAGTTTTTTTCCTGAATCTGGGATTACAAGCCGAAAAAAAATTTTGATAATGAAAATAGAATTATCAAGCTTTATTTTAAGGTAAAATTTATCGAGACACAAAAATATTTGTAAGTGGCCCAAGCTCCATACCATGTTGGGTATTCTCCTTTGGTCGATGATTTTGTTGACGCATTTAGTGTAAATAATATTATCATAGTATAGTACCGGAAGCGTGGGCAGGCTATAGAAGAAAATCGATAAAACATTTTTTTAATTACTACACTAGGACCAAAAGTAAAAACTATGCCAGAAAAATTTTTAAGGGGAAAAAGCCCTGAGAAGGGTAAATTTTATTAATTGAGGCATTGGGAAAGGAAATTATTAAGCTGGGAAGTGGAAACACTGTTCAATCACTATTCGAGAACGAGAATCCAACGTCATTTTCGTGTAGTGATCAGTGATATGATTCATAAGTATTTTAAATTGTGGACCGTTATGAATAATTATAAATTTGTTTTAGAAATAATCACCTTTTCTTTTTAAAACAGTAAGTGGAAGATTTTGTAACCAGTTATCAAAGCAACATTTTAAAAGTATCGCAGCAGAATCCTTTGTGTTTTTGCTGCGACGCCATTTTGTTGAGAAGTATTTTTACCTTCCCTTCTTGGCATATTATAATTACGATCTGATTTAAATCTTTAAAATGTCAGAAAATACACCAAAAGAACCTCCTTTACAAAATATGGACACGTGGCTTTCCAATCCTAATATGTGGATGTATGGTGTACATCCACAATACGGTGGATATCATGGCGGGATGGGTCCGCCGTTTTATAACCATCAATATTATAATCCCATGGGTAATAACGGAGGATATCACAACAATGATTATAATCATTATCAACATAATGAGGCGAAGCCAAACTTTATGCATCCTCCTTTTTCTAAACCGCCACCATCGGCACCTTTACTTGGAATGTCACCTCTCGATACCAGTCGCCCATTTTATTGTCAACCACCTATCAGATTTAATCTGAATAACAATAGGAAATCAGCTCCTATTCCTCCCAACGAAAATCCTCTTCTTGTAAGTAATAGCGGTAAGAAAAAACGTAAGAAGGCAAATAAAATGAATGATGAAAAGGAAGCAGTTATATTACCTCCTTTGCCTGATCACCCTCCACCACTCCCTCCTTGTCCTCCACCAGAGCTACCTAAACCACCTCCACCACCACCTCTTGATGTTCCATTGCCTCCTCCTTTAGCAACGGAAGACATTCCTAAGCCTGTGGATGAACCAAATAATGAGAATAAAAAAGAACAAGAATCTGAAAATAAAGGGTCTGATAACGAGTGTTTTAATTTCCTACAATCTACTGCCATATGCCCATCGGCTACTGGAACATGGCCTGACAATCTAGAAAGGTACATTAAAAGGTGCTATAAAAAATGTAGAACTGCTTTTGATCGCGATCAAATTGATATATGTTTAAAGGGACGTATTACAGCAGCTGCCAGTAAAGAGGAAATTTGGAGTAGAAATTGGGATGAAGAGCCTGTTCCTAGTGTCCATAGTGAACGTAATTCTTTAACAGTAAAGCCTGTCCGAGGTACTTTGTCTTTATATCAAAAAACTGAGAGCCTTTCAGATACTAAACCTAAATCAACATTAGCTGGAAGACAGTACAGTACTGCACACAAAAGCTCCCCTCAAAGGCGGCGGCATCTTCATTCAAGAAGTAGATCAAAATCAAGAAGTCCTAGAAAACATTCAACGTAATTACGTGTTATTATTTATGTATTACGATATTAGTATTTCGTGATTTGTCTAAGCAGCTCTAATAAATATTGTTCTTTTGCAGTACATCAACATCAAGTGATGAATTTGAGGATAAGAAAACTTTGAAAAACAAAAATAAACAAAAGGTAAAAGATCGTCTTTCATTGGATCAAAAGAAAGCTGATAAATATAACAAAAATGGCAAGAAAAAGGGTTGCAACCAATTTCTTGTTGAGGAAGTTCAAGGTAATGCTGAAAAATTACAAAAGCGTGCAGAGAGATTTGGAAATACAAGTTTACCTAGTATTGCAAGCTCTGTCCAAGTTAATAATCGAAAATCGGAACCAACCCTTAGGAGACCTATTATTCAAGACTCTGAGGGAGATTATGAGTTGAATAACATGCATATTGTTGGTACTTGCTCAGACATTGAAAAGTCATTTTTACGATTGACAAAAGCACCTGAAGCATGTGAAGTAAGACCTGTTTCTGTTTTAAGAAATTCACTTAGAAATGTCAAAGAAAAGTGGATAGAAAAACAGGATTATAGATATGCATGTGATCAGTTGAAATCAATTCGACAAGATTTAACAGTAAGCTAGATTTATATTATTTTTATTGTTTTAATTTTGTCCAACAACTTTTACATACTTTAATTCATTTGTAGGTGCAAGGGGTAAGGGATAGTTTTACAGTTGATGTATATGAAACTCACGCGCGGATAGCTTTGGAAAGAGGTGATCACGAAGAGTTTAACCAATGTCAAACTCAACTTAAAATGCTTTATACGGAGCTACCATACTGTAGAACCAATGCAGCTGAATTTACAGCCTATAGGATATTGTACTATGTATTTACTAAAAACACATTAGGTAAGGCTGAAAAATTGTAACAAATTGTCAGAATTTGAAAATAACCCTTAATTAATTTTATATTATTATATTGTTACAGATCTTACAACAATTTTTCAATTTCTCTCTAAGGAGGATAGGGAAAATGAATGTATTAAACATGCATTACTTACGCGATGTGCATGGGCAACAGGAAATCTACATAAATTTTTCATGTTGTATAAGACTGCTCCATTGATGGCTGGCTACCTTATGGACTGGTTCGTGGAAAGGGAGAGGAAGCAATACCTGAAATACATCATTAAGTCGTATGTCATTTATTATATTTCATTAACTGGTGCACCTTTCATTACAATTGGTAAAGATTAACCATGTGATAATAATTTATTATTATTTAATAATAATATATTAGATAATAATTTATTATTATTTAATAATAATATATTATTACATATTATGCTACTAATTTACATATTATTCTTTATTTAAGAAAGCTGCATTATACTTTATTTATATTACATCTGTAGAGTGTAAAATAGTTTTGACCATATTACATTTACTCGGGTAAATATCAATCATCTTGATCATGAATAGCATGTGCACATATTATAATCATGTGAAATTAATGTATGGCGATTGTTATTACATTAATATTATATATAACATACCGCATTTTCTGGGCACCAACTTTTAATTCAATATACTCCTAAGAACCTGAGTTCGATCCCTGGTGCCGGCACCAATGAAATAGTTAATTTTAAGTGCTGATTTATCACCTGCTCGGTGGTGAAGGAAAACAATGTGAGGAAACTTGAATATTTCAGAAATAATAATACAAAAGAAAATATTTCGAAGATATATGAAGTCTGCCAATCCGCAGTGGGGATATGGTGGATGTTCTAATACCCTCGAAAAGTATTGAATTTGCCCAGTAGAGTAGTACATGTATAAGCTGTTACTTTACTTTTATAACATGATTTATCAACTTTTTAAATTTTATTATTTCAATAAAATATTTGGTAAGTATGTGGAGAATATATAACAGAACATGATTGAAAGGGATTACATAGAGTACCAGCCTTGCTGGTTGTGTTCACTAACATTTTCTTTGTATGTTCAGCTACAGGCAGTCAGTTCCTGTGGACTTCATCATACGAGAGTTGGCGTTTGAGTCGAGGTCGAAGGCTGTAGAATTTTTAAACCAATTTCCATTATCGTACACTGGCTGTGATCAAAATCAACTAGATTGCAAAGCCAGCCTCCCAGCTGTTGCAAGTATTTAACATTTTCTGTTTGATAGGCATCCTGTTATAGTAGCATGCTGTTGTGTGGTTATGTAAATGCCACATAACAGGGGCGGTATCAATGGTCCAGCGTTGAAGCACCAACCCACATTGCTCATCATAATTTTGCTAGGATGCATCGGCGGCACATAATTTATTGCAAAAAAGTTTCTGTACGAGAGATTGCTGTGAAGATTTTTATTTCAACAAGGTACCCTAAGCATTATTACTATGCTATGAAGATGTGTCGGACGTTTCAAGAATTGGGAGGTTTGTGTTTTACTAACACTATGTTACAGTGCAAATGACATTAAAAAAATTGATAGTGCCGTATTTAATGAAGAACAGAATGTTGTGAAAATATTCTTTTGTACATAACATATTATTACCTTAAGGTTTATTATTAAATCTTGTAATTAATGAATTATAAATTGTAAATATAATTAAATATTTCGTCAGTAATAAATGTTTTGTTATATAATTATTTTTATTTTATGTAATAATTTTACCGATTCAGATTATGTGGTGTAAACTATTGTAAAGTATAAAATTGCTATCTTTTTAAAACTAATACTGTTGCCATACCATTTTAATATGATGAATAATCATATTTTTACGATTTGATTGTTCTTACTCAAACAATATCAGTGTAACTGTAAAAAAGTAATACTAAGGATAATAAAGCAGAGGTAGTAGATAGTACCAGTACAGTAAATTGTTGTCACACATCCATATACTTTGTTGTAAAGTTGTGACAATGTGACAATGTGACTCCTTAAAAAATTGTGTTCCAATCAATGACCGAAACCTATATACTCGAACAACCTGAGTTCAAATCTTGCCCAGCGCCAATGAAGTGAAATGAAAGAAGTATAATCATCTGCCATGCAGTAGTGGACTAACCCAGGGGCGAAGGGGCAGTCCGCCCCGGGCCCCAGGTCCTGGGGGCCCCCAAACGCCTTCATGTTCCATTGATAAAATCCTAAACAAGGCTTTAAAAATATGCTTAGTACCTATCTAAATGGTTTAAGTTTGGAAGTCCCAAAAAATATTATTTCTTTCAGATAAAAACGTGTAAATAAAATTATATAATGAGTGCGTAGCCAACGCTGCGTCAGCCGGATCAATGATACGGAGCCCAAGGCCTCTGTAGGCCCCGAACGGATGAAAGCAAAAATTCCAAAATAACTTAAAATATTAAGTCGTACGGTCCCGGGTAAAATAAAGATAACTTATACAATATCATCTATGGACATCGACTCATTCTCCTACATGAACAATAAAGTCATACACGAGTTTTGAATGTTTGCCCAGTAATGGCCAGATGTAATATTAAAATTACTTTAGCTCGATCACATCATGTCATTTGTAATCTACCTTTAAGAAGCCATTATTCTGTATCTGGACAATTCAAATCAAAATGAAATTATTAATTTGGTTTGGTCGATTAGCGCAGTTAGAGAAAAATATTGATATAAATTTAAAAAGCTCAATTTTTGGCGATTATTTCGAATACGGTAGAAAGATCATAATGAATAATTTGGAAAAAATCCATACTTTAATTAGTACCTAATAATAAAACGCTGGTCAATAAGTATTGAGCAACGATTCATAACATATAAAATTAGGAAACCTTAAAAAAATTGTCCTGCTAGAAGATATTCGAGAATCGACGCTTTAAGGAAAAATTCATCATCATCATCATCATTTCAGCCTGTTTGATTCCACTGCTGAACATAGGCCTCCCCCATAGACTGCCACGAAGTAAGATCCTGAGCCACCTGCATCCATCGACTTCCCGCACATTTGCACAGGTCGTCACTCCATCTAGTGGGGGGTCGTCCTACACTGCGATGGCCAGTACGAGGCTGCCACTTGAGAACCTTTCTTCCCCAACGGTTATCGGTTCTACGAGCTATATGGCCGGCCCATCGCCACTTCAGCTAAAATTAAGGAAAAATTATTCATTAATAATGAAAATTTTGTAGCAACAATTTATTTTAAAATATGTAGAAAAAGTACGAAAAGATTGTCGCCGTTGTGGGACTCGAAGCCACGTCTTCGGCATTCGCGGCCTGACCCTCTAGCCACTGAGCTAAACGGCTGATTGCCACACGGACGAAAATCTTAACGTCTTTTTCTACATTGTTTCTTAGCATTTGAAGCAATGCTTGGCTCATCCATTGTTATATCCTTTCCAGCATACAAACAATTTCGAATATCGTTTTACAACGATAATTCGAACGAGAGATGTCGCCATTGCTTTTTCAGAAATTTAAATTGTTTATAGTGGTAATCACTTAAGATTGAACATTAAAATATGTAGAAATGGTACGAAAAGATTGTCGCCGCTGTGGGAATCGAACCCACGTCTTCGGCATTCGCGGCCTGACGCTCTAGCCACTGAGCTAAACGGCTGATTGCCACACCGACGAAGGTTTTGTAAGTAGAATCCTACACACACTTCTCGCCTCAGAGGCGGCATTGTTTCATTTATTGTTAACTGTTTGCTTGTTGCAATAGGCGACAGCTAGGTACCCAACCTAGCGCACCTATAGCGCAGGCAAATTAGTTGTTATTTTTAGACACACCTCCCTGCCGCAAGGTGGGGACAAACGGCGGCGAGGCTACAAGCCCCAAAGGCACTTACGTCGCGATGGGCTCCCTTTTCGCGTAGTTCGTACGCAAAGAATGCCCCGCTATGTGGGAACGTTTTCTTGCCTATGCAGCCGACCATAGGCAAGCAGCTGAACTCGCATCGCCGCCATTGCCCGTGCCCTCTGCGCCCGTTACCCCGTCGCCCTCCGCGACCTTAGAAGCCCCCGTCGCGTCGCCATCCGCTGCCGCGAACTCGCCCGTAGCGCCTTCCGCGCAACCAAACCCGACCTCTTTTGGCTCCGTCGTACCCGACTCACAATCGGACGGCGGATCAGACACGGATCGGATCAGGTCGAAACGACTCCCGCTGAAAACGCGAACGCCGACGGCTTCACCATCGTTAAATCGCGTAAAAAGGCAAGAAACGCCCCGCTACCGACAGCGACACCGAATGCGAGGCCGCTTCGACGATCAGTCCCACCGCGACGCCCGCTAAAATGGCGACCGCGCCGGGTAAACCGATGCCTGAATTCGCCTCCGAGCGAAAAATAAAGCCTCCTCTACCTATCATTATTCAGGAGAAGGCATGCATGATTTTCGCCCACACGCACCCTACTCGCTTGCACAAGTTGCAAGTAGTGCAAAATAAGTTCATCCGCCGCGCAACCGGTGCGCAGTGGTATCAACGCTACGTCGACCTGCACAGTGATTGCAGACTCCCGATGATTCGCGAATTTTTCAAAGACCTGACCAAACGGTTCTTCGATAGAGCCGAACATCATCCCAACCCTCTGGTGGTAAGCGCAGCAAATTACCAACCCGATCTAAACGCGAGCGTCAACAAGCGTCGCCCGCGAAACGTCCTCATCGACCCGGTCGAGGAAGGGGACTTAGGTACGTCGGACCCACCGTCGGGGATCCCGCCGGATAACACTACACACACAGTTAGTGTAGCAACAAACACATTAGTTCGCCCTCGCCTCCGAGCACGGCGAGACCAACACAACGCGTACACAAGGTACACCCGCGTTCCAGGACGGTTCTCACCGTCCCCAGCCACCGATTAGCTAAAAACACAGTCGACGGCCATCGGGGTCTCGGTCCGCACCGCTACTTCGATGGCCCTTAGATGACATGCCGTAGTTAAACGCACGCATTAGCACATGCGCGGCCCTACCCACAGCGGAGGGCCCAAACCCGTGGGTTATGGCTAGTCCACCGGTTCTGCGTCAGATGAAGCTTTAATAGTCTCTGGACTGAAAGCACAAACATCAGTTAATACAAGATACAAGGAGAAGGCTAAGTGGCATGAAATATGTTTGTGGTTTGAACGCCACAATATTCGCGACCCCCCGGTCGAAAAATGCTGATATGGGTATCCGCGTATACCTTGACACTACGGACGAATTCCGCCGCGTAACTAAGTACTTGCGCGAAAACATAGGTTTCCATACCTACTCGTTGCCCGAAGAAAGAAAACTTCGGGTAATGAACGGTCGGATGGCGACAAGCCGAAGACCGACATCCGCACTCAGGAATACCCTGTATATGCCGTACGACGACTCAGGCACCCCAGAACCCGTGTCCCTATGGACATGGTGATGGTTGAACTTGACCCTACCCCGGAAGGTAAGCCATCGTCAACCTGAAGAGGGTCTGTGGGCTCAGCGACCTCGTGATCGAGACCCGCGTAGGTTAGGTTAGGTTAGGTTAGGTTAATGCTGGCAGTTGTGGCGCAGTGCCACAACTGCCAGCATTATGGCCACACGGCTAATAATTGTTTCGCTTACCCTAGGTGCGTCAAATTCACCGGTGACCACGGCACCCCCGACTACGCGGCCGATTACTAGCTACAGGGGCTGCGCTACACACCTAGTTTGCGTCACACCTAAATTGTCAGATTATTGAATGAGAGCTTTTTTTGGGTTCACTTAACACCCCCTTAGAAAATCTGACGTGCTCGAACAAAATTTTTTTTTCATTTTCAACCCTTACGTACGACCACCCGCATCATGTAAACGATCAGATTAACATACGTACATTATGAAAAATACGTAGGACATTGATGCTATCAATATCTGACGCGCTCGAGTATAAATTTTACATTAAAACATTCATGATTGAAACATCGAAATTGTTTGTATGCTGGAAAGGATATAATAATAGCATCTATTGCCACAGCCAAGCATTGCTTCAAATGCTAAATAACAATGTAGAAAGAAGGCGTTAAGATGTTCGTCGGTGTGGCAATCAGCCGCTTAGCTTAGTGGCTAAAGCGCCGCGAATGCCGAAGACGTGGGTTCGATTCTCACAGCGGCGACTATCTTTTCGTACTTTTTCCACATGAAAACGTCGTGACTTAACTGTCCAAAGCACAAAAATTTGCAGTATGAATGGTTTTGGAGATTTTCAAAAGGAAGGTTTATAAATAAAAGTATAATATTAGGTTGGGGAAAAACTCTTTTCGCAAATAGTATGTATGAACTTATAATATAATCTCTTTGGCTATACCATTTGTATCTGGCTGGTTTTGGTATCATTAAAAAGTTTAAATTTTAAAAAAGATAATTCCAAATTAAAATTAGGAAAATGTTTGATTTTCATTAGTTTTTCTTGTTGTTGAGTGATTCTAATGAAGAAATTCGGTATATTTTAAAATTTTACTACAAAAAAGGTAAGAATACAACGCAAGCCGCGAAAAAAATTTGTGATATTTATGGACCTAACGCAGTGTCTGTGAGAGTAGCACAAATTTGGTTTAAGAGTGTTTAATCCGGAAATTTTGATGTCAAAGATGCACCTCGCTCTAGGCGCCCTTTTACGGATAAAATGAATGCCATTTTTGAAAAAGTGGACCAAGATCGGAATATCAGTAGTTTCGATGTAGCTGAAGAACTGGGAATTGACCACAAAACAGTTTTGGCGCATTTGAAAAAAGCTGGGTACACAAAAAAGCTATAAATATGGGTGCTTTATGAGCTCACTGAAAGAAACCTAAAACGACGTAATGAAACCAAACCATTTTTGAAAAACCTGATAACTGGTGATGAAAAGAGGATCACGTACGACAAGAACGTGTGAAAAAGGTTGTGGTCAAAGGCAGGTCAGGCTTCACAGACTCTGGCAAAACCCGGGTTATCTCGCAACAAGGTAATGCTGTGTGTGTGGTGGGATTGGAAGGGCGTTATTCATTATGAGCTGTTACCGCCAGGCAGGACCATTGATTCTGAACTCTACTGCGAACAACTGATGAGATTAAAGCAAGAAGTGGACCGAAATTAATCAACAGAAGAGGTGTGGTTTTTCATCATGATAACGCTAGACCTCACACATCTTTACCCATTCAGCAAAAATTAAGAGAGATTGGCTGGAAGGTGTTAATGCATCCGCCGTATAGTCCTGACCTTGCACTCTTCAGAATTCTGTAGGCAGTGTCAGGTTAACATCACGAGAGGACTGCCAAAACCACTTGTCGCGCTTTTTTGATCAGAAGCCCCAGAATTTCTAAAGCAATGGGATAATGTCCCTACCTACAAGATGGCAGAAAGTTATCGAACACAATGGCGCCTACATACTTTAGTTAAATGTAAATAAACTTTATTAAAAGTGTTTTTAATTTTCATATAAAATGCGAAGAAACTTTTTCCCCAACCTATTACATTGCACCCGTGTGAAGCCGGGGCGGGTTGCTAGTAGATTCATAAATTTGATCCTATACACGGTTCTGATACTACGATATCATAGGTTTCAATATAACTCGGTATTGTGGATATTTATCTATTTAATAGGTGTTATTTCTGTATTTATTCGGTAAATTTATCTCAATTTATAGTTTCAAGTGGATATTCATGGTTAGAAGGGAAATTCACAATGTTTTGCGTTTTTTATTTTTATAACTAAGATTAGAATATAATAGAAATACAAAGAATATATGATAGAAGGATATTATTGTTGATTTATTTAGTAAAGGTTTTTAACACCAGTGCGTCCTACAAGATCGTAGTACGTTTAAACATTTTTAAGTTTTTTTTTTATTGCAGTTTATTTTTTTATTTAACAGGTTCACCAAAGTTCGTTCACATATCATTAAGTTTGGAATCTTACCTTTACTATATAATCTAATTATTAGTTGTTTTTATTATATCTACCTGTTTTTTAAAAACTCCTTAAAAACACCCCACAACCAACATAACAAAACAAATCTTTTCTAAATTTTAGAACGCGAAGAAAATTAATCAAAACTTTCTTCCGCAATTATTCCGACACAAATAGTAGGTATATATATTTAACATCAGCTAAAGGCTAAATAAATAAACTATAGAAAATAAACTATATAACATAACTATATAAAATAAACAAAAATACATCGTTGTATCAACGTGATTAGTATTTAACTGAAAGATTTTTTTTTGCATGCCGTTAACATTCAATTTACTTATTATTTTTTTTTTATTTAGAACTGGCCAGCACTTGACTGCCATCCGACCTGATGGTAAGTGGCGATGCAGCCTTTGATGGTAAGCGCACTAGCTCAATAAAAACCTATTCACTCTTGCCTTGAAGACGCCTACATTGTAATCGGACGGAAAGATGGACGCCGGCAGGTTGTTCCATGCCTTAACTGTAGGGATGATAAATGACGAAGCGAATCGCTTTGTTCTTGTTCTGGGAACGTCGACAGCATACGGGTGGAGCCTCGCCGAACGCCTATGATGGAAAGGGGCGGTAGGAATCAAATCATGCAACTTCAACGCACACTCTCCAAAATGCATCCTGTAGAAGACCGTTGCACCTTTGCAAGGAAGCCTAACTTCCTTGCAGCTGCCCTGGCTTTAGACTCAATGAACCGCCCAAGTTGAAGTTTGAGGATATTTCGATTCCCAACAATTGAAGGTGGTCGGTATACTCCTAGGGTACATTCCGGAAAGTAGGAGCCAAAGTGAAGTGGCTCCTTTTTGCGGAAAAAAGACATCACCCCATTCAGAGACCGCCTGCAATTTAAGATTCAAACACTTTATCTCTTTTTCAGATTGGATGTGATCTCTACTGACTCGAAGACTCGGTTGGTATTCATAAAATCTGTTTAATAATCTGATATAGTGTATTGCTTGCCGTACCACTCAAGTAGTGTAATATTTGTATCTCACGCGCTTTGTCGCTCGCTACGCTAGCAGCCGAAGCGTACGATGTCGCGGTTCGTGTCGGTAGAGCGAGTATTCGGTACATCGGAAATATCATCAGATATTGTTATACATAGATTTTGAACGAATTTGGGATATTGTACTAATATATAGTTTTCGTATTTATAAAGATTTGTATCGCCCACTTCTAGCGGGGGTTACCACTTGACATCAGATGAACTGTCAGCTTTCTTTCTGCCTAAAAACTAGAAAAATCAACAAAATATTAGAAGCATAATTATTTGGCTTTCATTAAACATTTGGCCTTCCATGCCGGTTGAAAAATTTACTATGTATTTCTAAACAGAACATTTCAGATACCTATCATTAAATTAATTTATACTTTAGAATAATCAATATATAACAGAGAATAAGAAAACAGATTATAATATTGGTTGTCTCATTTCAACATAACAATAGCTTTTATTTTTAAATTATTGTACACTAACATAAAATTTATTATTAATTATACATTAAACTTAAATTCAACAAACAATTAGTGAGAATCCAAAAATGACCTACAATTTTATACAATACAATTAAAAAGAATTAGATTCATATAAAATATTAAACATTAATGTTAATTTTTACCTCATAAGATTAATCATACAAAAAACGAATTCTAAGGCAACTAAACATATAGCCAAAAATACACATGTATATCAAAAATGTGGTAGACATACCTTTCCCGCAAACAACTCTGATATTACAGTTATCCATAATGACAAAACAAATAATATGTAAGATATTCCAACTTGATGACTATTTGGTAGTTGATATGGCTGACCGCCAATTTCATCTACATGAAATCCCATTGGAAAAATCACTGCCGCAAGACAAAATGCAACCACTGAAATGTAAAAATAAATAATATTCTTATTATGTGATACAGATGTGTAAAATATAACCTATTATATGTTTGAAACAATGCTTCAACATACTTGCTGCAAACCCAACCCATCTTGCATATGGAATGGCATTCCGGTCGAAATGACTTGCAGCTAAAAGCCCTACAGTCATTGTAATACAAACACATCCAGCAAGTATACATATTAAAGCAAGCAACCATTCTGGCTGTAAAGTTGGAGAAAAACATGTTTGTGATCTGTTATAGAGTGTCATACATGACCACATTAAACCAAGGCGTGTATCACCTGAAATAAAAAATATTTTCAGTATTCTTTTTTACTTTCTTTTTTATAACAAGTAATTTTGTTAATAGTAGGTGGTTAGTGTTTTGCTTCTTAATATGGACCATTAATAAAATAGGATGTAAATAAATTCTTAGGAGTTTGCCCTAAGAATTGGAGAATTATTCATTGCATGCCACAGTATGTAACATTTTATTGACAAACTTAAAAGTAATATACCCTTGTAATTATAATAATTGTCCTTTGTAATTCTTACCTCCTACGTCAGTAATAATCCAATCTGGCATAGCCAAACTAACTATAGCAAAAACATCAGCTGCCATGAACAGAGTTCCAGAAATGACGGTTAATTTATCCATTTTTATAACTTGTAATTGGAGATGACATTACAGAACATACAAATCTTAATAATTTTTTGTACTCATATTGGAATCATTCTAAAGTACAAGGAATTTTAATATTTCGTTGTATCTAAAGAAAAAAAGTTTTGTCCTTTCTATCCAAATCAAATGTCAATGTCAATGTCATCTTGTCATCTTCGGTTTGGCCTTTTTTTTTAATAAAGATTTTATGGCCTGGTAACAAGACCTTTAAGCCAAGTCTTATTTCAGAACACTAATTTTCACATTTTTGTATTATTACTTTTGTATATTTTTACTTGTTCGCTGATATTATCCACTGTAAAGTAACCCTTATTGACAGCTGAATAGACGTCCACCGATTTGTCACCTGATCGGTGATTAATTGCGTCAAGCGCCTACGTCATGGCTGATTAAAAGTATATTTTCTAGCAAATAACGGCAGCTTAAGCGAAATAAAAAATACGTATATAAAGCTGAAACTATAAGGAATCAAAATATGTGTAAATTAAAGTACAACTATTAATCCAAAACAAAGAATTAAATATGAAAGTTGAGAATATTGGTTAAATTTCACGTAAATATTTTTTTAAACAAGTTTTTACAAATAAAATTGTATCAAATCTCATTTGATATTTATTCTTTAAACTAGACAATATAAGCTTTAATTTGATACCAAAAGTGTAAACATTCATTGTGTAAACTTTATACAATAAACATAAACATAGACCCTATTCCACTTGAAATCCGACACTCGATTGTTTTTCAATGCGACGGCAAGATGGCCGCCCATAAGGCCATAAACACAGGGTTATTCATCTATTTTGTTTCATAAATAGGTACATGACATTCTTATATTTCTAAATAACATATATATTAACATGTATAACACATATTTATACATAAAATATATCTTTATTAAATTTCGGTATATAATTTTAATATTTGAAATGAGCATTTATTATGTATTTATGATATGTATTTATGATATTATAATAAAATACAAAAAAGCAAAGTAACAGTATGTGAGCTATATCTCAGCTAATATTATTTATTTTACGGCTGGTGATATGCCTTAAAACAGCCCTCAATGCAAAGATTAATGTCGCGCTCCTGGCATTCCCAAATTTTTCATTATTGTTCCAGTATTTTTTGAAAACATCAAACAGGAAGGGGTTACTTTCAACATCGGTGTGGCCTGCTTCTTCCTTGAAATCCAAAAGCCTTAACGACTTACATATTTCTTTGAATAAACTGAAATATTAAGCGTAGTTACGATTAGTACGTAAAATGAAAAAGATAATTAAGCTTGTTCATCTTACACTCTCACATGTCCATGTCTTCGCAATATCATTCTCACGTCTTGATAACTTGCAGTAAATATTAGTATTATTACGATTAGGAGGATGACGTCTTAAAAATCAAAGATCCGTCTTGACAGCTTGGAATGACGTATGTGATTTTATTTTTAAACATTAGTGCATGGTGAAAGAAGGTTCGTATTTGGCATAGACTTCAGACCTAGAAAAAGATAAAACAAAAATACCCTATAATAAAATAAATAAAACGAATGTACCACACCAAATAAAAAAACGCGATAATACGAAAATACCCTCATGTTCACCGTTTGTATGTAACCTTATTTTGATACTTTTTCGTGACGTTCGTGTGACGTCATCAGCCCATACAATAAACCTGCGGAAGACAATTTTAAAAACGTAAAATAATAAGTGTTTGCGTAACAATCCTTTCGTTTTTAGTGTTTTTAAATGTTAATAATGAACTGTTTTTTACAATTACTAGGAATATTTTACTACAATATATAATATATAAGACAATTTTAATTATGAAAACCGGCACAATGAGGGTAGATTTTTAAGTGTTCATTTTATCACCCGAAATAACCACTGGCACGCCAGCGCCACGCGTTGTATTTGACAACGCGTGACGCTGGCGGTGTCAGGCGCCAGCGTCAGCGCGAGAAATAAAATGTCTTTATACCGCTTCCGACTTTGGCGATAAAAACGCTAGCCGTTGGCAAACTACAAATACTATCCCAAAGTACTAATCACAGTTAATAAATCGAATAATTAAGCAATCTAATTATCTAAAAATCAAGAGTTATAATTTTAATTTGCAACTCTAAAAAATATATTAAACTTGAAAAACTATGATGAAAACTGATATCTCTTAATAAAACATTTATTTGACTACAACCTAAAGGGTTTTACTTTACATCCCTTTTAACAATATTAAAATAGACCAGATTAAATATTCTTTCAAACAATGCCAGAATCATTTTAAAACTTACCTATTTACAATTATGAAGAAAAACTTAGAAGAAATTAATTACTCCCCGCTAGATAAGATGCGACCTTGCGTGCCTAGTTAGAGTGAAAATGACAGCTATTTAAGGTTTCGTACAAACGAAGTTTGAAAATGAAACATATTTTTCAGAGTAATTTTTAATGACTACTTACAAAATTTCACTTTTTATAAGTTATTATTAGATATTTTGAACTTAAAATTAATAAAATTAATAATTGTAATTTATAATTTTTTTTCTGCAGCAGCTCTTTCGGAAAGCGACAACGCCGCAACCCTGTGATGTTCTATTTGCCTTTCAACACGGATTTGACTGAACCTATTACTGAAAAATAAAAATCATAAACATGTTACGTTTATAAGTTTTTACTGTAGTACGATCACGCAACAGTCTTCACAGTTGTACGAATGGTCAGGTCCGTTGGGGAAGTACAGCGACCTCACAGAAGACTGGCGTGAAGTGGCTGTGGAAGTGTAATACTTTTGCGTTTCGCCTAATGAGTGAGCCAGGGCCTACTTTATTTTAAACGCGTGGTGGCAACGCATCTGCATTCCCGCGGGTGTTGCAAATGTCTATGGGCGGCGGTGTTCACTCAACATCAGGTGAACCGCCAGCTCCTTTGCTACCTTCTGACATAAAAAATAAATAAATAAGAATAATGACAAAACAAGATAAATACTCTTCAGAGGTCTCGGCACCATCACGTCCTCTTCCTCGTCCTCTTGCACGACCACGCCCGCAACTTTTTTTGACGTTTCTTTCACTAAAAGTAATGTTTACAAACCACAATTTAATTTAGTGAATATTTAGTTCGTTTAGTAATCCGTACAAACCCTTATTATACTAGTAACTATGGGTAACTATGGGGGATACCATGACAACCCGCGATGTTGTCATGGTACCCGCCGCTCAAAAAAAAGTCCATTGACAACAACAGGCGCCCAGTATTGAACCAATTGTTCAAGTAATAGATTCGTATCGAAAACACTTGAACTTATATAAAAAAACGTATATTGATATACTAATTATGAATTATTTCTTCATTTTCACAGTTTTGGGTCAAAACGGTGGACACGCATTTCTTTGTATTTGAAATATCAACCATTGTTCCATCGCAAATAATAACTTGTTCGGAGGCGAAATATTACAACTATTGAATGCTAAAACTACTTAACTATAAAAAATATTGTAGCATTATTCTTCCCGATCATTTATATGTATAATACTATATAAATATCTACTTACGACATATTTTATTAAGCCAACAATCACTTCACACGTAACGCACTTACAGTTATAAACTTTCAAAATTTTATTTTGGCGTTCTGTTTGAAAGTTGTGGCCAGTTAAATTTATTTCGTTGAATAATTTCCTAAAGAACGTCTCTATGAAGCTATTTCTCTAATCAAAACGCGCTAGTTGATGATATACGGAATTTGTTTACACTATGTCGCGTAGGTACCATGGTTCCCTAGTGGCAGTTTACATAATTTTATTTTCTTGCTACTATAGCACCTGATGGCTTTCTGGGTGATAAGTAAAACAGCAATAACAGACAACAGTTTAAACTAATAGTTATTGAGAAACAACATATCAGTTTATTATTATTAGTTTATATTATCAAAACGTAGCCGTTATCGCCATCTATACCAGTTAATGATATGTAGCTGGTGCACGATCACTAGATGGTGGCGCCGTCTGCTAATCTGCATATCCGTGTCGTAGAGTTGCAAATTACATTATTATTATTATTTTTTCGTATCTTGGCGGTAATCTCCAAGAGATATCCCCCTTATTTCTCACATTACATGGTTATGTGGGGTTCCTACCCCCTATAACTCCCCCTTCTGTACGTTTGGAGGGACTCCGGGATCTCCTACGGAACGCATGGGCACGCCTCGGAGAATGAAAAAACTTCCTCGATTACCTCATCTTTTTTTTAATGTGAAAAGACAGCAAACCAGCTGGCGGTTCACCTGATGTTAAGTGATACCTGCCGCCCATTGACTTTTGAAACACCCATTACATGGGTTGCAAATGCGTCGCCACCTCTAAATAAAGTGGGCACCGGCTACATCACTCCCCAGACGAAACGCTGAAGCTTTACTTTACGCCGGTCTTCTGTGAGGGCGTGGTACTTACTCGGACGGACCTGCCCATTCGAGCTACAGTGAACACTGTTGCGTGGTCCTACCAAATGTTAAATTATGGATAGTGTTAGTAACAAAAACAAAATATTGCAGAGGAGCTTGCGGTACTTTTATTAAGATATTACCATTATGACTCTACTTTTACCAGTACACTGTATATACTGGTATTAAAGAATCATAACAATAGACCCCAAGCACCCCGCGTTTAATTAAATTTATTGAAAAATATTTTCTACTTTTTAGTTCCGTCATCTACACCTGTGTATTTATTATTTTTTTATACTATTATTTATTTACAAAATAAATATTGTTTCAGATCGGCAGCATCCCATTGCAAAATACTATTCTGCTTAGTTTTGCGTTCAGTCCCATTAACAAACACCATAAACTGTATAGCTCGTTAACCTCCACCTCATAATCGGGGTGTGTGACCTATTACTTTCAGTGGATATCGTTTTTATATTTCGAGTACAAGGTACACGATATTCGACGACACACCATCGATTTTAACAAAGTTATTAATACAAAGTTTTATTTTAACAAAGTTCTTTCGTTGGTAAAATAGGCTGCCAGAGTCTGAGATTATCTTGTCCCCACCCTATCCTATCTTCGGACCGCAGATGATCGTATTATATTCATTTCATCAGCCTCTCTACCTTTTCTAACAGCTTTATTGTCCTTTCGTTGGTCATCAACGTTCATGCGTAGTATGTTGGTAGGTGCGCCGTCGTTGGTAACCGAATCCTAGCCAGAGAGTCTTAGCAACTCCTCCTCTGCTGTTAACATAACCGCTACTATAGGTAAGAATAGGTAGGACACCGGAGGCTGGGTAGGTCACATCTTGGACTTCCACTATAAACGTTGTTCAGTAAAATGATGCGAAACTAAAGATTTTTAAGTGGCTTGCTTCTCTAACGTATGACTGAACTGAAAAATACTTGACCATATATTTCGATGATTTTATTTTTATATTTATATATGAACACATGTATACCTTTTTTTGTATTGATATAAATGTGTATGTTTATGTATATATATATAGAAAGATATAATTGATTTTTCATCTGCTATCTCTATTTATTTATTTTTCTTATTTTTGCTTAAATTAAATTAATAAAAAATGTCGTTAAAATAAGATTATAGATTGTAAATAGTCAAAACTAGTTTTAGTAAGGTGAACCGATCTTTCGACTGGCATAGATGGCAATCGAAACTGGGAACCACAGGACAGACGGGCTTTGTCCCAAAGGTATGTTTTTCAATAGCTGCCACGCCTGGCAAACGGGTTGGTACCCGCTGTTCTTCCAGACACCTCGCACATTTAACACTGCTGCTTCTTATTGGACTGAACATTAAGAGTCTGAGGAGTCGAGATGGCTATCAAGGAGTGCACCCCATGTCATCCACGGGATGAGATGGGGTGGCATGTATCGAGCCGTTTCTTTATGGTTAAGATATCAATATTTGTGATGAATAAACAACATACTAGTTAAATTTCTTTGCAATTTACTGTTAATAATTACCATAGCCTAAAGTTCTGTAAAGAGACGTTTGTTTGCGGATAAACATAATTTTAAATAAAAAAAATATTTTTTACAATTCTCTTTTATTTAGTTGCTTCGTTATATTTGTTATTAAGAAGTAAACAATTCGAAGTCCGTTTTTCGAGCCCTGTCGTCGATTTCCGTCGAATGTTAAAATTATTTGTAAACTCTTTTTTTTATTTTATTAAAAACTCATTTTGAGCTTATGTAAAAAGTAATATTTTTAATCGATACGAGGTTAAGTTCATATATCTACATTATTTATTAAGTAAACATTTCATTATTTTAATAATAATCGGATCATCCTAAAATCATTTCCACCATAAAAAATATCTCGCGAAATATTTGTCAGAAGCGCCTTGATTAGTTGACTTTTAACGTTTTATTAGTTATGCCGGTGCAGAGCTGTTAGCTGTATTATTTGTAGCATTAGAAGCGTTGTCATCCGGTTCGTTGATTTGAAGCCATGGCATTCGTCGCTGCAGTTCTTGCCTGTAATATTCAAATTTATTTTTAATAGGTAACGGAACCATACAATTATGCATTCTGCGTTGCTGCTTAATATACAAAAGTAATAAATATAATTTACAAAAATATTCACTACTGGCAACACCGTAATCGGGAGCGCTTTAATGTACTGTACACGAAGCATTCAAAAAAACTGAGTTTTTTCAAGTTGTTGAGTGATGCAATAAAGCTAATACTAACCTGTATTTTGGATGGCTAATGGCATACACCCATGGGTCGATACAGGCAACACCCTTGCAGGTAAGTGCGGGTATCATCGTGACCTATAATTTGTTGTCATTGATTTCAATACTTACTCGGTCGAATGTTGGTGTTACTTATATAAATATTATAAATAATGTGTTCTATTATTATAATTTCATATAAAAACATTCTTTTGCTGTGATGACTAAATGTCAGAAGAGGTGCGAAGGATTTCAAACGTAGATTTCATTATTTTACGGAAGTAACTATTAATAAGGATTTTAAAAGAAAATAAATAATATGTCGAGATTATCGCACCATGAACTCATCGGCCTTTTAGCTTAGTTGGTATAGGGTCTGCGAGAAAACCGGAAGACGCAGGTTCGAATCCGCCGTAAGATTTCGTTAATTTCTCTATAAAAATTACATTTTAAGAAAATAAGAATTCAGAAACTTACTGCCGGTGTTAAGAGAGACTTGTCGCCAAAAGCCCCAATAAGTGACATCACACCGTAAGGTGTCCACGACGCAACGTATAGGAAGCAGACGGTAAGTGCCGCTTTGGCTATACGAATCTCAGCCGATTCCGCGCTAGCGCCTTGGTTAGATCTTAGGGAATCAACATTCATTTTCTTCGCTTGCTCCCTGTCATAAAATCAAAGGATTACCAATTGTGAAACATTTATTATTAAATAGTGAAAAATTACAGCAACAAGCTCACGTCTTGTCGTCTTCAGGAAAAAACAGAAAGTCATTGGCGCATACCGCTGAGATTGATCAGATCTGATATCCCAGCAATAATCATCGCTCATCGTTAACTCGAAATTGTATACTAAATTTTTTAAGGTTTTTGACCTTAGAACTTTTTTTTTCTTTACTGCCTCCAGATTAGTTTGAAGAAATGAAGAATAAAAAAGTACAAATAAATACAATCATACTTAATTTTATTTGGCTGTACCGTTGTTTGTGACGCTAATAATGTTTATTCGTTCATATAAAAATTATTTCAATTGATATTACCTTAAAGCAGCTTCATGTGCAAACACTTGCTTCACTATTCCACTGTAGAAATACATTATCGCGCTCATCGGGAAAACGTAGCTAGTGGTGAAAATGCATGCAACGAACAGTTTGTTGTCGAATGTGTCGGTAAGATAATCAAACGTGCAAGATGTTAAAAATCCCTCTGAAATAAATAAATTAAATTATACCGAATAATTAATTGTTGATGCGTCATAAAGTATTGTTAGTTAAAACTGAGTAAATATATGAATTAAATTGAGTATTTTCGATAAATGAAACACAAGGACGTCGGTAATATTACAAATAAATTACCAGGTACAAATCTGCCCCAGATTTGAAGCAGTGGTAGAATTGCCCAGGGCGCAGTGTATATCCACACGCAAACCATCATCAGCAAGACTTTACCGCGAGATAAGCGTCCATCAAGTGGTCTCGTGATTGTTGAATGCCTGTAGAAAATTATAAAAACATTATGGTTTGGCGATTCATGGTAGATAGATGTACGTGTAAAATTGAGGTTACCTGTCATAAGCTATACAAGCATTAGTCATTCCTGCACCAATTCCACTGCATGATCCAATGAACGCAAATGTCTGGCACCCAATCACACCAGCTGCAAAGCCTTTGTTTGCGCTATTATAGATGAATATTGGTGCTTTACACATCATGAAGAAATCTAAGACAGCTAACTGTAAAACTAGAAGGTTGCTTGGCGTTCGTAGGCTTTTTGTTCTGAAAAAGAGACGATACACGATAATTTAGCGGCATATTCAAATTTTATATTATTATAAACTGAGCGTTGTGGCCATAGAACTCTGACCTATATTTTAAAAGTTCGTTTATTTATAATACATTCATTATTTTTTTTATGTGCAAAGTTGCCAAGCGAGCAGACGGTTCACCTGATGTTAAGTGAATACCGCCGTCCATGGACATCTGCTACACCCGAGGGTACCAGATGCGTTGACAACCTTTTGAAAATTGGGCTCCGGCCACCTCACTCACCGGACGAAACGCGAAATTATTATACTTCCACTTTAGGCCGGTCTTCTGTGTGGTCGTGGCACTTACCCGGACGAGCCTGCCCATTCGTGCAACAGCCGAGGTTGCTGCTTGCCCTACTACCGTAGATTTAAATTTAGTTATAATATATTACATGAGTGTATATATAAACAAAAATGTTTAATGATTAATACGAAATGTTTTAAAATGTTATTTGTTACGCTTTTAAGTTATTATTCATATATTCTGTACTTGGTTTATAATGCTTTACTTAATTAAAATTAATCATGTTGCTAATATTGATGATGTTTTTCTCTTTTGTTTTATAATGATTATCAGAGCGTACAATTACAATTGTATTTTATATATTGTATTTATTATTATGTCAAGATAAATTAATGTAATTTGATACATTGTAAATTTCTACGTAAAATCCACCAGTGCCTTTACGTGAAAATTCTAGTGTTGCAAAGATGCTGTTGGAAGTATCGGGAAGTAATCGAAACCGAAATCTCTGCCTACCCGCCGGGTGTCAGGCGTGAATGATTAATCATTAAAATAATTACATAAAAACTAATAATTAATAATTGACTTACGTTGAGAAAATAAAAATGACAAGTCCATTTCCAATTAAGGCGGCGGCGGTGAAGAAAACATAGACAAGCGCGAGTACGGTATGGGCGCTTGCGGGCGGCGCCGGGTATCCGAGCCAGTGTTCGGGGATGGCGGCCAGGTCCGCACCAGTCAGCCCCGCCCCTAACATCTCCACGGGCTCGTCCGATCTGTGGAACAAAGATGATCACCCATTGCTAATATTGAGCAATAGTACACGGGGGTAACTTGTGTTTTCTCTTTCATGTGGGACGATGGTACACGAGCAGGCGATTGCTTGCTTTGGCGACTTGTTACAGTGTGGGCCCCGCTTACCACTCGGACCAAATGAATGCAAAGGCTGTATACTTTACGTAGGTCTTCCGGGAAATTGTGGTTTCACGAGTGAGCTGGTTATCGAAGTAAAGCTGTTTTCTGACTCTTACAATAGAAATGTCATTGAAACTTCGTTGTTTTTCTATTCAAGTAAAAAGTTTCGAGAAAAATGTAATACGTGTATTATTTCAAACATATCCAACATTATTTCTAATTAAAATATAAAACTGGCCAAATGAGAGTCGAACTTGCGCAAGAAGGGTTCCATACCATTATTTGTAAAAACGGCGAAAAATTGTGTCTGTTGTATGGGACCCCCACTTAAATATTATTTTTTCAGTTCTTTAGAATTTTTTGTTATAGCGGCAACAGAAATACATCATCTGTGAAAACTTCAACTATCATTTCAACTATGACATGCCAGGTGACAGACGAACATACAGACAAAGAGACAGACAGCGTTTGAGACAGCTGTTTAGTAACAGAGTTTTAGTAATAGGATCCTATTAACCCGTTTTAACCTTATGGTACGGAGTCCTAATAAAAACGAGTATTGCATTAATAAGCAGATTGTAGAGTTTGAATTAAAAAAAATGTTATGGGAATATAGGCTTACCTGTAAGGCGCAAAGTAAGCACCATAGTTATAGTTATTTTCGGTGTGGTTGTCCATGACGGCAGGCGGGATCATTTTGTGAGCAGCCCTCGGTAGAGTGTCTGGATCCACGCAACTGACTGACTGCTGGCTTATGTTCTCCGTTAGGCCGTTTTATATCTGCCTATTGCTAATGAAATTTAAGGGATTATCCACGTGCATGTCCGTGATAGGATTAGCAGAGATTTTCAGCTTTCAATGACATAGATTTCTAGTGATGAATGCGCCGCTTATATCTATTAGTGGAGTCAGGGGTGTTGTAACAAGAGAACATTCTACTGCGAAACCATATAATTAAGCAGCTTTTTTCGGTTGCACGAACAGGAGGTGACGAATGTCTTTAGATTTTTAGTGTTTTGTGGATAAGCTTTTGCAGTTGGCGTTGCACGAAATAGAGAGTCATGTTGATGTTATGTCGAGGTAAGTTATTTTATTATATTTATTAACTGTATTTAAAAAAGTAAAATATTTTCAATAATATCATTATTATTATAAATATCAATATTATTGTAAATAATTTTACTTATGACATTTTTTAATCGATGTTATTGCGTTTCTTTATATTTACTTATACCATTTTTATGTGGCTTCTGCCACCTGGAGCTTACACAAAAATCTAGTGATGTAATCATGTGGTTGTAAAATAAATATAACTCTTCAATTGAGACTTGAACACAATCCAAAGAAGACAATCCTTACTTTTTTACTTTTACTATAACTTTTTTATCATTTACTGACGAAAAAGAACTTTTTTGTCATTTACGCCTACATTCCATCTTCTAAACACCTAAGAAGAAACAACTGGTCCTTCGAGAGAAAAAAAAAAAAGATAGAAAAGTTCGAGGAACTACGATTTCCAGAAGCAATCGTTTTCGTCAAGCAAAAGTTTTTTTCAAGCCGCCTTCAACATCAAAATCATCATAATCTAAATACACACATATATATAATTCTCGTGTCACAATGTTTGTAATTGAACTCCTCTGAAATGGCTCAACCGATTTTCGTGAAATTTTGTGCGCATATCGGCCAGGGTGGAGAATCGGACAACATCTATTTTTCATCTCCCTTAATGTTAAGTGTGGTCCACCCCAAACATTATTTCTATCCTACAAATAATTTATATGGCAAAACAACGTTTGCCGGGTCAGCTAGTTTTCATATAACGACATTAGAGTGAGTCCGTTCCTTTATTCTCTATAAATCTCGAAAAAAAATTAGATGTTACATTTGGAGAGGTTACATTATGTAGAATGGCTCTATACTGAAAAGAGAGGAAATTTAGCATCACAAATTATTATAAAACTATCTATTAAGAAGGTTTAAAAGTTCTGACCCCAACTGGTATTAAATGATACAATAGGTAACATATTTTTTTCAACAACTTTAATAGACATCACAACAACCATTTGGATCGATTATATACTACCTTATGTTATTCAGAAATATTGAAGTATGTTGTAAATTTTTCCTGATATAAAACTACTAAGATTATATAAAAGTGCTAATGTAAATTGTTAGAATTATCATAGATAATATGACGATGTGAATATAAGTATCGCATTTCTTTTTGTAGATTACCGTTAACAATAATAATATGATGTTCATGTTGTTAATGGCACGAATCTTACGAACTTAAACATGTTATTCTAATATATGAAATATATATTGCGATCTAATTTTATTTATTTTAAATCACATAAATTTGTTTTTAAATTAAAGTAATGAACAGAAAATACAATTTTTCGGAATAATGATAACCAATATTTGTTTTTATATTATATAAAAAGACGTTACCAAAATATTAATTTAATAATTTAAATGTGCTACTTGAATCACGCCATTAATACTATAATCATTACATTTGTAGGGTATCTATTTAATTTTCAAACACATTTCTGAAATTCCTTCTAAACAATTGGGTAGGTATACAAGATGGACAAGGAGACCAGAAAGTATTACTTATAAAGTATTGATTTAGTTAAACTCGTAATGTGTTATCGAGTCTATGCAACTAGTGCCCCTCAAAATTATGACACACATTTTGCATTTATATTATTTAAATTTTATATATATTAACAATTTTTTTATGTCAGTTATACGAAGAGTGGGATAATTTGTCCATGATTAAATAAAATAATAATAAACTAAAAAAGATTTATAAGAAGAGGAAATTTTCTATGAAAAACCTGAACTCCCGGAACTATAGGGCCAAACATTTATAATTTCCCCGGAGTTAACTAGTTATTAAGATATTTTTAAAAGATAGAACCTTTATTTTTTTTCTAATTTGTTTATAACTTTTGGAATTTCTTCGAGCGGAACTTTATTATTTTATCAAAAATCAGCTATTCCGAATCCAATGACAGCTATATTTTTCCGAGACTGCTGTTAAAATTTCAACATAAAAGCAATAGGCTATTTTACAAAATTTTCTAAATGTCTAATATAAATGACTTTTTCTTGATCGCTACGAATTATTGCTTAAAAAATAGTTAAAAAATAAAATGAAGTAACATTATTATTCCATACTGTTTGCAGGTCCCTTTTAATAAAATCAAGATTGTATTCCCTATACAATGTAACACTACAATGGCCATTACATTTAATAACATTACTTCCTACATAAATAGTAACTTGAATAGACAACTTTTCTTTTAATTCTTACTTAAAATAATATTTAAAATAACATCATTATTAAAAGAGAATTATTATTTTTTAGTGTTATCCAGTACAGAGTTTTGCAATAAACAAAAATGGACAATTACGATGAGCGCAAGTTATTATTTTGTAAAACCACTTTGCACTTCCGTAAGTAAAAGAAAATTAAATAGTTCTTTATAAATTTCTCAAATACGCTAAATCCTTCTTAACGAAATGTTAGTTATTCAGTAATAAGCGACTTTTTAATATTTGCATTGTTGGTTTATTCCTTTTAATAGAAAATTTAAATGAAAATAAAGAACAAACCTTTACTTTCATTTAAATAATACTATTACGAGTATAGTATCACTTTTGTAACACTAAGTTATGGTAATTATTATTACAGCTTAATGCTTACAAAATAGTTTCTTATTAAATAATCTAAATAAGAAGAATATTCCGGTGTCCATTCAAGTTTTATTTTACAAAATTTTAGTTATCAAGACTGTAAACATATAGTGAATTATTGTGTTTATTGATAGTGCAATACATTATACATCGATGGAGTTTCGTTATAAACAATTATCACATTTGACACATGTTGGGCTACTCTAAAAGTAACGTTTATAAGACACCACCGCATAGTTACTTTTTCGTCGTTTGATATGGTCATCATTGTTTTTAGAATTTAAGACGGTTCCTCTTAATAGGTACAAAAGGGAAATACAAATTGGTATTTACTACATATTTACCGAGAATACATTTGGACAGGTTTTAAGATTGTAAACAAGAATACAACAATTCACAAATGTACAAAACATTTACTACAACTAATCTACAGGTGAAACGGCATTTGCGACAAAACTACAATTTACATTTTCAGTTTTCGTACTTTTACAATAAGTCTTTATTGTTTTTATTACAATACAATTATGTGGTTAGTTCCATTTTTTTTTTTACAAAATTCGCTTTTATCAGTCTTTTATCTTTTAACAAGGGGTTCTATAAAGTATCTTAGATTCGCTTCATCATTTCGGGCATTGGGAGCTACTGTATTATACAAAAAGGATGATGAGCTCTTGTGGTACAAAATTTTTTTCTTGTGGTACGAAAATCATTTTACATTGTTATTACAAAAGTTTATAAAAATTAAACAATTTAATTCATCATAAAAATATGTAGATAATATAAGACTGTCAAATAGGAGGATATTGTTCATACAGCTAAAGAACTTTCAAAGAAAAAGTTTCAAAATTTAAGTTTTCCTGTCTCGTTTTAACGAGACCAATTTTTTTCTCATTTTTCGGCAATAATATCTTCGTTTGATGTATTTTCAGGCTCCTCGATTAGTATACATGTTTCTGCTGCGGACGGCAAGGGGGAAATTTGAAGAGTCGCCTCCTCAAGGGGTGACATAGGCGGAGATATATTTGAGGGCGGTGGCGCACTACTAGCGCGCATTTCATGTTCAACCGACAGGTGCACCATTTCTACAGTGTCGCCGACGGTTGCGACAACATTTGTTCTGTAGATAGATATATTTTATAGCAATAATAATAATAATAACAAATTAACAGGCAAAATATATTAACAGACAAAACCAGACATAACATTAATTGATAAACAGGATAAAATAGTATTTCTAATCGGCACTGCAGTGCCCAATACCCATAATCTTCACAAAACCATTACTGAAAAAATAAATAAAGGAAGAAATTCTGAGAATTTGGAAAATGAACAAAGCCATTTTGCCAATACTGCTATCCAATAAAGGCGTAATTCTCAAACATCTTCTTCAATGTTTAGATATATCCTATAACACCTACATAACCATGTAAAAAGCAGTAATCCTAAACACATGCCGAATTTTACGCAATTTTTTACAGTAAGACTTGAGTAATTCACCCGAAACATAAGATGAAGTTCACTTGGCTTAGGCCCGTGATCTTGATCATACCAAAATATCTTAAATATTTCGAGAGATACAACATGTATTAATAAAATAATAATAATTGAAAATGCTTTCTAACTCTGAGTATTTGTATGATGAGTCTGTATCGGGTTGATGGACCGGGCACAGTTGCGGGTATTTTTGGTCGACATTACCATTCTATATGACGAAAACCTCGTGAAAGCCGAAACAGATAAGAAGACGAAATATCTGGACCTGGTTCTCGAGGTGACCGATATGTGGGGTTGTGTGTTGATTGAAATTGTCCCGATAGTCTTGTCTGCGAATGGGTTGATCCCAGTAAGCCTTTCCGAACATCTGAGGCGACTGGGACTCCGGGACTGAACTTTCCAAGCTCAAATGCCGAAGGCAGAGCTCCTTGATGAGGAGCTCTGCCTTCGTTCTCTCCCTCTCACCCTAACCCTCACCCGTTTGGTCTCCCCTGCCGAGGGTTTCCGTCTGGTTGGGTCCTATTTATGTATGTATTATATACAATATTTATATGTTTACTTTTATTTATAAATCCAACCAGATGAGAAAACAAATAAATATCCCCAATATAATAATAATATAATTTGATTTATATAAATAATAAATAATAGTACAAAATATAGTATGACTTTAAGTAGGTTGTAAGTTCTGTCACACACCTACCTATTAATTAAAATTTTCGAATACGGGCCAGAAATGTTCGGACTGATTTTGAATATGAAACTTTTGAGCCATGTTGTAGGTGGAATTTTTCTTTCACACGAAAAAACATTGAAATCGTTAAAACAGTTTGTTGCAAGCTGTTTCAAAACAAACAAAAACACGTTTTCAGTTTCATTTCTTTTTGTAAAAAAGTGTCAAAACTAGCGATGTTTGGTATCAAAACGCCATTCCCACAAACGTGGTACCTGTTACAAACAGGCGCTGCGTATTCCAATAAGATTTGGCACCAGCTCATCAGGTAGCAATCACCCAAAACTGGCTTATCAACCATGTCATTAACATCATCAGGGAAGACATGGGGCCTTCTTCCAGACCAGACCTAAACGCGTGGGATAATAAAACATGACATCACTTGGAGGTGACAGTCTAAATGTGGAATGGAAAACTTTTTATGTGAAAAGTTGCCAAGCAAGCAGGCGGTTCACTTGATGTTAAGTGAATACTGCCGCCCATAGACATCTGCTACACCCAATGGTTGCAGGTGCGTTGAAAACCTTTTGTAAATTAGGCTCCGGCTACCTCACTCACCAGACGAAACGCGTAAGTATTATACTTCCACTTTAGGCTGGTCGGCCGGTCTTCGTCGTGGTACTTACCCGTACGAGCCTGCCCATTGTTGCAACAGCCGAGGCTGCTGCGTGGCCCTACCACCTATGAATAATAAAAAAATAAATAAGGATTTTTTTAACTTAATTAAATAGTGAGTACATTTAGTATAGTAGGTTATAAGATTTTTTGTTCATGTATAATTTTTTTTTGCAAATGTAAAGGCAACTTGTTTATTTTTTTTTTTTTCATTTATACCTGAATATACATTTAAGTACGTTTTCGAGGCAGAACGAACGACTCGATCATATCATGTTTTTGTTATTGTCGTGCAAGCGAAAAGGGTACAAAATATGTAAATAATTGAAGTAAATCTCCATACTAAATTATCTAATATATAAAATTCTCGTGTTTGTAATTGAACTCCTCCGAAACGGCTCGACCGATTTTCGTGAAATTTTGTGTGCATATCGGCCAGGGTGGAGAATCACACAACATCTACTTTTTTCACCTTAAATGTTAAGGGTGGTCCACCTCAAAAATTTTTTTCTCCTCTACAAATAATTTATATGGTAAAACAACGTTTGCCGGGTCAGCTAATGATAATATATATATATTAAATAAAATTGCGTTCGAGTCTAACGTTTCAAGAGAAATAACCGTTATAAACACGATGCTCTGGTCATCGTGTTTATAACGGTTATTTCTCTTCTTTGAGACTGTCATTTAAATTATGCTCGGATCTAGGATATTTTAAATAACAGTCGAAGAAACTGTTTTTAGAACATTGTATTTTTGCCATTACACGGTTAATAGGTAAATAGGTTCTTCATATAGGTAATACTTTTCTTTAGTACATGGTGCCAAAAATAAATATAACCTAAACACATTTGCTAGACTTTTTAATACTATTCAGCCAGTACATATTTATAAATTTACTGAATAGTACTGTAAGAAGTAGGTATATACTTTCAGTACATATATATGTGGTATAAGTGATATTTCATTTAATATAATTATCACGTCTTTTACAGTAGCGTGGTTTGGTAGCTGGTCAGCCTATCTTCGTATATTAACCGTTAGACATTAATTAAAATCAGAAAAATGATTGAGTATCGTAATTAGTATTCGCCATCAGTTTTCGGCTTCACGAAGAATAAATACCGAATATTACTAATCATAATCTCTGACTTATATAATAATATCTTTTTCTACATTACCTCGGTGTAGATTCTTCTATACAGTTTATGTTGCTGATATTTTCACCTGATGTTGCTGAAATCATAAAAAAAACGGTCAATTGTGAGTCGAACTCGTGCGCAAGATTACTTTTCAGATTATCGAGCGCCCCGGTAATATATCAACGCATGTTAGAATGGATTCATGCGGAGAAGATGATTCTAAAGTTTCATCATTTTTTCACCAAAAAGAGTCAAAAGTTTGCGACGACTCACTACTCGCGGCTGCTTCTGGTTAGACGCGAGCATTCTCGGCACCCACTTTGTGCACTGATTTGACATACTAAGATAATCCTGTTGTAAGTATATATTATAAGATCTTTGTAGATGAAACCTATGTAATGAAATAATTGTTAGTGTATTATTATAAACCTAACAATTATTTCTGCAAGCTGCTTCTCTCTTTGGTCATCAAATATATTTTTGACAATATCTGCTGTGGTCGCTTCGACATTTTAAATCGATTTATTTTCAATCGAATCCCTGCCTTGCAAGCCTTGCCTTGATGAGGTTGTGGAGACTTATAAACTGTTTGATCAGGGAAGAAGAAGGGAGGAAGATAAACAGAATATATCTTTTCCGAATAGTCTGAGGAGGTTTTAAAGCAGTTCGATAACTGAGAGAATTAAACTTTTACCATGTTGTAAATTTCTTACGGATTAACTTATTTCATTGTTCTCAGTTAATTGACACTTGATTTGTACGAAAATACGTTTATACCTTCAATTAGTGCTCCAACTGTTTGTGAACAAGCTTTAAGGATAAATAATATTGATGTTGAAAATAGCATGCTAAGGCTATAATGGTACAGCAAAGAGGCCGTGCATCGATTGAGTTTTAATGACACCGAAACATCGCACTAATAATCTAAATGAATTTATATATGTGCATAATAAAAATGGGGTCACAGGTTAGCATCTTAACGGTTGGATGCAACTGCAAGTCACCGGAGGTTTTATTGTCTATGGCGGTAATCATTTGACACCAGATGTACCGTTCGCTAGTGTACCCCCTCCAATAGAAGGAGATTTCTCACGGAATAACGTGTCCTCGCGTAAACGCTGTTGCCTGGCGAGAGGCCGGCGGCGGGTGTTGTCCCGAACGCGCAGTGTCACCCCAGCACAAGCACCGCTCCCGTGTAGATCGAGTGCCAACGACGACTGCGAGCCGCACTCCGACTCTACTGCTCCGGCGCTGTGATAATAATTATAAAAGAGATAATAATTAAACAAGAGACAATAACCAAAAAAGAGACAATAACCAAAAAAGTGATAATAATAAAAAAATGATAATACTAAAAAAAGAGGTAATAATAAAAAAAGCGATAATTCAATGATGGATTCAGTTTAAACCTTCGGTTCATTTTAATTTGATATATAAAAAATAATAGTTACATATTACATGTAAAGTTAATAGGCTCACTCCGTGGCACAGTTGCCAAGTCCTCATCGACCCGGTCGAGGAAGGGGACTTAGATACGCCGGGCCCACCGCCGGGAGTCCCGCCAGATAACACTAAACCCACAGTTAGTGTTACAACAAACACACTAGTTCGCCCTCGCCTCTGAGCACGCCGAGACCAACACAACGCGTACACAAGGTACACCCGCGTTCTGGGGTGGTTCTCATGGCTCCCAGCCACCGATTAGCTAATTGCATAGTCGACGGCCCTTAGTTGACACACCACAGTTAAACGCACGCATGAGCACATGCGCGGCCCTACCCACAGCGGAGGGCCCAAACCCGTGGGTTCTGGCTAGCCTACCAGTTCTACGTCATATAAAGCTTTAATAGTCTCGGGATTGAAAGCAAAAACATCAGTTAATACAAGATAAAGACATTTGCCAAGGCTTACTTTCGCGATTCATCTGGTATTAGTGAGGTAGCCGGAGCCCAATTTCCTAAAAGGTTGTCAACGCATCTGCAAACCCTCAGGTGTAGCAGATGTCCATGGGCGGCGGTATTCACTTAACATCAGGTAAACCGTCTGCTCGTTTGCCAACTTTTCACATAAAGGAATTGGCTTCGGCGTCGGGGGTCGTGGGTTCGATTCCCACAAGGAACTATTATTTGTGTGACCTACAGATAATTGTTACTAATCTGGGTGTTTGTCCATGTATATCTATGTTCTTAAAAACGTCCTTACAACATAGGGTAATGTTTACTAGAAAAAAAAAAGAAAAAGTTACGAAAAAAGTACATAATACGTTATTTGGCCCTGTAGTATATAATAGTTTAAATCAGAAGTTAATACGTGAAGCAAAAACTTTGTACCCCTTTTTACGAAAATTGCGGGGACGGAGGAGTATGAAATTTCCCACACTTACAGTTTATATAGAGAAGGAGTGCAGAATATTAATATTTTTTCCAATTATGCGTAAAAATATATTAAATATAAAAAACATTGCACGTAGTACTACCACGTATAATTAATTATGGTCCACTTTCGATAACTAGTTTACATAAACCAGTGCTTTTCATTTCAAAATACAAAATGGTTGTGTATAAAAAGGTTTTTTTATTATTCCCTATTATGATGAAATATTGGAAAAATATTATATTTTCATATTATTAATATGAAAAATGTTCAGGTGCCTGGAAATGAGTGAATGAATATTCTTATTAATTCACTTATTCTTTGTTTATTTATAGGTATACATTGCCCTTACATATTCTTTATTTCTTAACATTACATATTTGGGTTAATTTAATAAATGATTTATCGGTATGCCAATCCTACTCATTGTCAAATTAAACTTTTTTAAGGATTTTGTAGCATATAATTTTGCTTTCAATTTCCCGAGTATTGAAATTTTCAGTGCTTTCTTAACATCTTACAATGTTGATGATTATAGGATCTCATTATTGTAGTAATTTCGATATAAAATGTAAACTTATTTTCCGTAAATCGGATTAAAATAATAATAAAAACAAGGTGTCGTTAGCGCAGGTGGACTATAACTGGTGAATTATTTAATCTCGTCACCACGGGTACGTGGTACGTCGGGAATTTAAAACAAAATGAAGTCGATAGATAATTAAAAAGTAAATCCGCAGTAAATTCGTTTGGGCCTTGATTTAATATTATCAATGATAGAATCCTAAGTTAATTTTAGAACACAACCCGCTTCTTTATCCAAATTAGGTAGATCATGTGCTCTTTTGCAAGGATCTGTTGTCTATCAAACGTTGTTTAGTGTGTGGCGATTCAAAGTGTGCTCATAGTCTGTTGACTTCTTTGTTTTATATTAGATATATATGCTGTTGATATGCTGGTTATTACTGCAGAACGTATTTTGTAGATTCTATTTAAATTTAAAGCACGGCATGTAGCAAAAGCAAAATCATAATTATTTTATGAGCCAATACGAAACCATAATAAACACAACTGCACGAGTCACTACAAGCTTAATATCTTTGCAAGGTTTAATTTTGTACAAACATGAAAATTTTCAACAAAAATATTAAAAGCAAACTAAGCTATTCGCTGAATTACACGTTGAAGTGGTAGCTAAGCATGAAACGCTCTCTCTCTGCATGCCAAAGTAAGTGGGGATCCTGACGAAAGATGCTAATAAGACTTTTTGAAAAGCGACTTAATTAATAATGTATATATGTATACCATTAACAAACGCAATCAGAACTGTAAAGAAACCAGGTGTTATGTTAAAATATTCGTTATTTTAAAAATATAAAGTCGCAAATTCAATATAAGGTGTCCTTGAACGTGGATAACTTTTGACCAACAATTGATCTCATTGACAGTGTTGGAGATATATCAGAACACACGATGTCCATTAACTGTTGTGGCAGTTTGATGGATTGCGAGGAATGAGATCCTAAACAAGTATTACGATCAAAAATGTCAATATGTCTTTGTTCGTTTCTTTATCATTAGGTTTGCCTTTAAAGCTTTAACGTAAGTATATGATTAATGAAAATTTGTTGTTGACCTCATTATTTCTACTGCTTTTTTAAATATTAAAGTTTATACAGCGTGTCGTTACCATCGCGTCAATAAATAAACACACATATAGGGGATAACTTTTTAAAGTCGTTTGAAACATTTAAATTCTTTAAACAGCAATATTTACAGAGTTATTAAATTTTCCAAAACAAAGAATTTCAGAACACCCTTACCTATAAAAGCGTAACGTAAAGTTCATTTGTAAAGGTCACAAAGCATATGAATGGGTTGAATGAATTTAAAAAAGACAAAACATACTGTTAGAAGGAGAGGCTTGTAATACGACGCTGTGGCGCGAGTTGTATAGGATGTTACAAATTTTGTTTCTTCTTTACTTAATTATTTTGTTTGAAAAATATTTTTTTTAATTATGGATTTTGTTTAACGTTAATATTTTTTTATGATTATTGGCAAGTAGCGCTAGACGTGTGTTCATTTATTGTCGCGATGGTAACGACACGCTGTATACAGTTATTAAAATGTTAGATAATTATTTAACTGAGTGAACAAAATCAAGAAAAGTTGTAATGTGCATATGACCGGCGGTTATCACCTAACATCAGGTAAACTACCAGCTCATTTGCCATTTTCTCACATAAAAAAAAAGAAATAAGCGAACCGGCTATACATTCTTATATAGATAGATATTATATAGATACATTTTTATATGGATATAGATTCGCAATTCACACATCTAACACAACTATCATATACTCATTTGATTATATAGTAGAATAATTCGTATCTGTATATTTTCTTCCAAAAAATCTAAGCTCACATTTTCGTATCACATGGCACGTTTGGAGTTAAATAATTGATATTCTGAATGATTCTTTTTAAAATAAAGGAAGATTCAGTTATTCTACTTTCATTTATTTTTCTTAACTCGCATCGATTGTAGGTAAATCGTGGGTGAACTATTAGTATTGTTTTAAAAGATAATAAAGGAGCGTAAGATAAAGTCTCATTTCATTTAGGTTTATCATTGTATGGAGACGATTCTATTGATTTTCAATGAATTTTTGATATCATCAACTTTGCCAGAAGTTCTACATCAATACTAATATTATAAAGGCGAAAGTTACTCTGTCTGTCTGTCTCGCTTTCAAGCCAAAACTACTGAACAGATTTAAATGAAATTTGGTACACGGATAGTCTAGAGCCTGAGAAAGAACATAGGCTATTTTTTAATTAGAAAAAGGGTTATTAAAGGGGATAGATATTTATTTAATGCCTTCAACGCGAGCGAAGCCGCGGGCTAAAAACAAGTTATATCATAATCAAAGATTATAAAACGTATCCAGTAAATTATGTATATTACATATTATTTATTATTATAAATTACTATAATTTAATAATTAATTGATATATCAAATTTTTTGAATAAGCTATTTTTAAGATATAGAAGCATAATCAAAGATGAGGTGTAATTATAAAAAGGTCAGTGTAAGAATATCATGAATTTATCACAAGTAAATGATGTACTAGCAGCGTAATGAGATTGTATGTGTGAATTATTACCTGACTGCGGACTGGGGCGGTTCGTCTACTGAAAGCGCGTAGCGACGTAGCGGTCGTCGTAGCGCGCTCACTGGTAGCGGAGGCCTCGCGCTACCGCTACGCAAGTCCGGCGCTGAGCCGAAACGAGCGCGTTCCTTTGCTTTTTCACTTGTTCTGTATCACACACATTCACTGCCCTATTCACAAATTCCATCTCTTCAGGAATCGCACCGTTTACAATTTTCGCTATTTGATGATCAATGATATGATTAAAAATGACATTTAGCGTTATGGCTACGTTAAAACAACGCGTACTCGCTAATCTCTAAGCAATGTTTGTTCTATGATCTCGGGTTTTGGAGTTTGCGTGATAGCTACACATAACTAAACTATTTTCAGGGATTTCATTATTTAATTATTCTTTATGCCCAAAAATATATGTACAAAGGCATATTACCATCAGCATTATTTGCCAATCAACCTTGTGGCCGTTCAGCGAAGTTTAAGTAGGTGCATTGATTCACACTAACTAATTAGACACTAGCCGTTACTGCTGCGGAGTATTCGAAACGTCGGGAATATAAATGTAGAATATACAAATTTTAATTATAAATTTATAAATTATGCAAAGTTGTTGTGAAATATATCCTTATCTTTATGTGTTCCATAGTTTCAAAGATCCGTGGTAGCACAGGTTCTACATACTGTTGTATTATGAATACACCGAAACAAATTGTAAAGAACTTCGCAGCTACCTTGTGTACAGGTGAGGTGGCCGTGTTCTGTGTACAGGTGGTAGAGGTAGGGCGTGGGGCAATGGCAGTGGTAGCGCGTGTGGTAGACGGTAGACTCCTAGTTGGTCGAGGCGTGCCGGTGCGCAGGGGGGCCCACGCCGAGGTAAAGGTCTCGGCAGAGTCTGCGGCCTGGCGGGCGTCACTTTTGCAGCGCTGTCCCGTGCTTCGAAAGTCATTACGCACGCCGCGACCACTATGAAACCTGTTCGATTTCATTGTACAATATTTGTAATACCATGATTGTTATGAATCAAATAAATAAAACAAATGAAACAGAACATAGAACACATAATTCTATCTTTATGGAAAGTTTCTAAAATTCTAATTTCAAATAAGACTAAGACTTTTTTCATCGAGAACGAGAAAGAGAAATTATTTGCTGATCAAAGAAAGAATTATTGTAGGTAAAAAATTGGAATAAATTTGTTTTTTACTTAGGGGGTACCTCCGAATCCCATGACAATGGGCCCGGCGTACGATAAGTTGTTGAGATGGAACCCTCGGGCCTCATCCTTCACTGACACTGTTGCGTTTCCGCGTATTTCTTGCGCCACTGACAAAGTGTCCGCGTAGTAACCTAGAACATTTTATCTTAATGTATTTATATGTAGCGTTACCTTTGGGTCATTGTGCACACTTAATTATTAAGTTTGAGTTGTTAAGCAGAGTGGTTTTATTTGTTTATCTATTCATTTTCTTAATATGAAAATTAAACTGTATAATGTACAACACAGGTACTCAATTTCTAGTTCACTAATAAAAATACTAATGCATAACAGGTTTCTCATTGTCCGGAGCGATTGCGATCGAGTTTTGCTTAGATTTGATTCAAGCTTTTATTTTTTAAACGTGTAACGTTTAAAAAATAAAAGCTTGAATAGAAATCTTTCATTCTTTACCTTATTATAAAAAAAGTCTCATTTATCGCGTTTTATTTCCTAATGGATGTTCCATGGTCATGTACGTTAAAAGGATTTCGAAACTTCAGGAAGTAAAACTAAAAATAAACGCTAAAAATCCGTGCTAAACAATATTTCAGTTATTAATGTGTAATCTCATAAATACAAAAAACTTTCATGATGGTTATCCATACTTATAAAATCGTTTGTCCTGAATAAATTAACGCACAGTCAAAAATATTATCTCCAGAAAGCTGAAATTCTTATTTTCAACAATAAAGCTTTTCAGATTTTTTGGATATTCACATTTAAAATATTTTGTATAGGAGTAACGGTTTTTCTAATAAGAACCATGCATGCAAAGCTGCGGGTAACAGCTAATTCCCCATAAGTTTGTTCTAGATTTTTCATTTCATGTAGGTTTCATTAAGTCTAACATTAAGCTCGACAAGAGGCATATATATGTGCAAATAATTAAATAGTTATAAAATCATAAGTTAACTAAAGCTTCGTGTTTCGGTGTCGGCAAAAATGGGCAGATAATGTATAACTCATTACGGTTTTGGTCCAAATAAACCGGTTAAAAGTTATTTTTTTACAAATCCTGAATCACAAAATCTAGAGACGGTACTCGTCCTAACAAACACATGAAATTAAATATTCCTTCGGGTGATAAAAATGAGAACTCTTGAACTATATGATCTAATCTTTTTCCTATAAACACAAAAGTTATCGCTTAATAACTTAGGCTAACAGATAAAAGTCGAAGGAGTGAATAACAATAACAAAATCTTATCAAACATTCATTGTAACAATTCTCATAGGGATAAATAAAAAAAATCAGGAGTTTATGACAGTCAACATTGTTTGCTATTATTATAAGAAAAGTTATACAAAAGTACAATATGTATTTGTTTCCCCTTATTAGAATTATAATAAAAAAGTTGATGAAATCAAGATTATTTACGAAAATAGCATGAATTTAAATGATATTTACAATTTAACTTATAATTTAAGTACCTTACACGTATCACGTGTTCGGTGCTGAAGGTTAAAATCAAGGGGAAACCTGCTGATTTTAAAAAAACAATAAGAAAAAATATCGAAGATATTTGAAGTCCGCCAATTCGCATTAGGGTAGCGTGCTATTAAACCGTATTATTAAATGTTTTGTTTGTTTTATACTACAGAGTATAAAACAAAGTCGTCCCGCTGTCTGTTTGTCCCTATGTATGCTTAGATCTTTAAAACTACGCAATGGATCTTGTTGCGGTTTGATCTAGACAGAGTTATTCAAGAGGAAGGTTTATATGTATAATATATTCAACCCTTTTAATATATAAATACATTAGGCCCGTGCGAAGCCTGGGCAGGTCGCTAGTATTTTATATAATAAACAAACGTAAGTAATAACCTATTACTGAGCTAGTTAAAACAATCGATTTCAGCGTGTTTTAAAATGTAGCTAAAATTAACTAAAACTTTAACATAACTACATAAGTTTCATTGTGCGTTAATTCAAATTAGCAGAATATGTGACATGTTCTCATGTTCACATAATAGCATTACTGTCCCGTGACGAACTTTGCAAAGGGTTCGAAAAATCGAGGTCTAAATTCGTTAAAAATAGTTTGATTTAGTAATTTGTAGTTGCGTAACTATAAGAAATTATCGAGAAAGAAAGAAGTTTATTCGACCCAACACATTACCCGTGGTTCCCTAGTACGACAAAAATTTGCCAAGGTCACTCTGCGATTCAATGAAAGTAGTGGTCATTACAACACCTACAAAGCCTGAACTTAACAATGGTATAAATTAAATTCACCTAGCTAATTACTTTCATTACCATTTCGTCATCGAAAGTGTGAATGACAACACTAATCCGAAACGTTACCAGTGACTCACGCAATTGTTACGTGAATTCGTTTATCGATTCCCAGAAACCTGTTACATATTTTATTTATTTTCAAAATGGATTTCCAAGGAAATGGTATGTACATATTGTTTTATTTTAGTTACAATTCTAATATGGTTTATTTTGTGCAAATTGACTACTACGTGATATACCTGTTTTATGTACGCGTTTTAATTTTTAATTTAATATATCTCGCGGTTTAGTTTATATTCCTCCACATTTCCGTAACAAACGTTTATATATATGTTGTCTGAGACCTCATTCTTTATGGTCTCACTTGAATTCGTTCCCCGTTTTCCCCCTTTTTGTGCAATATGGGTGCTACATAAAAATAATCTCTTTGTAGCACTTTGCTATGTACACGAATTAACAATGAATGTCTTTCGTTTTGGATTTATTTACTCAAAATGTTGTTTTTATTGCGGGTTCAAGTCGAGAGTGTATATTAACACGCATGTATCTCTTCGAAATTTGAAAGTTGAAAAAAACGTTGTACGGGCCGAGCTCGTATTTCAAGTAATACTAGAAGTGCTTGATTCTTATAGGCTTAATATAAATGATTGTTTCTTATAGGGTTAATATAAAAATTGCCAAGTTAGACAAGCCGATAAAGACAGTGGAGCGGAAAGAAAAAAAGCCATCCAATCCCAATTCAGGATAAAAATGGATTTGGTAGTAGACAAAACTAAACCAGGGGAAGTGGAACTTCAAATGATGACAATACGGCTAGAAAGTTCTTTGAGAATCCTGAAATTTCTACTGAAATTACAGGAATTGATAAAAGCTTACCACAATATTGCAAGTTATAAATTCTAGCTACAAAGTAAACTCTATTAAGTTTGGGTAATTTGCAATGGCAAATTGTCCAAGCATTTCCATGGTTTTACCTACCAGCTTCCTGTCACAAGATATTAGTGCATGGATCTGCTTTCATAGAACATGCACTTTTATCTATTGGACAATTTTCTGAAGAAGCGGCAGAAGCAGGAAATATAAAAACATTATTCAGACATAGTTCAGTCTTCGCCATACTAGAAAGTTTTCTAGGACTATAACTAAAAGGGTTCTTTTGAATAGACTTCTTTGCTATGATCCATTAATATTAGAATTTGCCTAGAAAGAAAAAAAACTTTTGTATCAGAAGCTGTTTTGAAACCCCTGAGTTTTTAAATATTATTATTACAAAATTGTTTTTCATTAATAATTTATATAGCTGCATTTCTTTTTTTTTATTATCAGGTTCATTGTTTATTTTCAGGCTTTTTACAAACATTGTGTGTTGTTTAATATAAATTTATGGTTAAATAAGTTAGGCCTTTCAGAATAACTTTGAGTTGCAATTTAATTTTGTTTTGACTTTTTTATTGATTTTTTTTTATGTAGTATATATGTACATATATAGTAATATATCGTTATTTATTATAGTTTATAACAATGAACCTCTTATCTAACCAGTTTTATTCATAAAATCGCAGAAATAATGTATTTTATATTTCTGTCGAACCTTAGTATGGGCGGGGAACCACACGTGGCGTATGTTATGGGGCAGTTGTTCTACTTTAAAAAAAATTTTAGTCTCAAAACAAGTAAGAAGCATAAAAACTAGACTTAGGTCGCAATGTGTGGCCATGTAACGAGGTTCACATTCACATGTCTGCAGTTCCATCAGTACGAGCCGGAAGCTGGGTGCCGGAAGTGCCAGCAACGGAATTCTCGCTGGGAAAATCTCTCTCGCCGTAGCAGCACGGCATTCACATTTCCGTTAGGAATAAATAACGATTTGAAACGATTATTTGGATTCCTACGGGAGTACGGGTAACGGATTGGCAGGTTATCATTTATATTATTATCATTTAGGACTCTTTACGCATTGGTGAAGCTATTTTCGTACATATTTTATAGATTTATTTTATTGGATTTTATAATTTAGCATAGGTTCCAAATAAGTGACGGCATTTATGACTTACGGTTACCTTACAATGTTTTCCATCTTACCTTGTAAAAAAAAATCTGAAATATTGTCTATTATCGTGATATATACTCCTAGTATAACGTAGTATACATCATTTTCTTAATGATGTGATTTTACTTTATTTAATTTAATTTATTAGCATTGTTATCTGTTCATTCCGATATTTTCAGAGTATTACATTTTTTTAATAAATATAAATACTTCATAAAACGTGACAAAGCCTTATTTTCGCATTTAGTAATAGCAATGTTAATCTAAATACTTCATGTACGTATTTCGCTATAGGGCACGAGTCGCCACTCACATTGAGAGCTTCAACCTCTTCAATCTCTGCCCTGCCCACTACCTACTCCCCTGTACATTGACCAGCATTGAATATATATTTATACGTTTATTTCGTAAAATCAATCGAAGAACGTCACGTCCTAAATTAAGAAATACTAGCGAATAGCACCAGCTTCGTCCAGGTGCAATTCAGGTGGTCCAAAAAATTCTTGAATTTGACTTTGTGACTTGTATATGTATTTCTTTTTCTGTGTCAAAACTTCTTAATACATTTAGCAGAATGTCAAAACAGATTTAGAGATGTTCCGGAGATTAGCCTTCATATACTCTCAAATTAAGGAAATTCGTTTCTTTCAAATGTTAGCCTAAATGTAAAGTGAATTAATTCAGTCACGAGACTCACATATAAAATGCATGTTTCTGACTATTTTAAGTGCATTTAACATGAATTCCTTTTTTGTGACGTGTAGTTTGCTGTTAGCCCGGATGAAAAGGTCTGACGCTCCATAACATTATATGATGCTACTATTTAATTTACTTACTTATTTATTATAGCTTACCAACTAAATACATATAGAACAATGACATACAAACAGGCTAAACTTAATAATAAAATGTGTGTAGTACATAATATTTAAATTACAGGTAAATCAACGCTATAAAACAAACAAAATTTCAAATGAATAGAAACCCATGTATATAGAAAACAATTTAAGATTATCGCATTTATTAAAATTTGTAGAAAAAATACGAAAAGTTTCTCGCCGGTGTGGGAATCGAACCCACGTCTTCGAGATTCGCGGCTAGACGCTATAACCACTAAGCTAAATTGCTTTTCCTACAAATTTTAATGTTTCATCTTAAGTGCAAAGATTAGCACTATAAAAATTTAAGATTATCGCATTTATTTTAAATTATTAGATTTACTTATTTCTTAATACAGGTTTCATACCAATTACCGCCATGGCCGCTCCAAGTAACATCAGCAGTAAGCCTGCGGAAAGTGCTCGACATGCATGCCATAAGCACTGTGAGCTCATCTTTCCGCGGACCACCTGAAAGTTAGCTAACTTTTATAACAGCTTCTCTACAATATTACCAAGTTTTTTGGTATATTCATTACCTGAAATGAAAGGTACTTTCTTTTCTTTATTTTCAAACTACTTTTCCATCAAAAACCTCTTTCTCTATACGTTTTACATTTTTAGTCAACATTATTAAGAGTATGAGCTTTGGGTTCTTTTCAAACTAAACAGTTATTACATATAATTCAAATGGGGTAACCATAAGCTGATGTTGTAATTATGCTAAAAAAATAATAACGTAAATTCTGTCGGAAGCAATAATCTTTAATGATAGATTTTTACAAGTTGCTAACCATAAACATGGACTTACCGCACTATAAATCGGTATTATTATTATATTTACTATTGTTTTATCCAAAACAAATGAGTCAAGGAAAATAATTATAGGTTTTATGATAGTAATATCTTTAAGTGACTGTTTCCGACACACCACGTGCTTTAAAAGTAAACATTTACTGTGCGAGGTCTTTTGCCTTGATTGTTTTATATGTTTGGATTTAAATTTTATCTATGGTGTTGTGCTTATTCGATTCTGCTTGATGCTGTTAAATGAGACCTCACACACTGATGCCAAGCAATTGAACGCCCCCAGGGGGTGGCGTCTGGGGGAAATAAACACCGCCCGTTTCAATTCCCATTCATCCGTCACTTACGGGGATGATAATAGTTTTAATGTATTCATCGAAGCGAGTTGCGTGCGCAACAAGTCTTCAGCCAACTGTTGAGTGTACATACAGCTTCAACGGTCACTAAAAGATATACTTTTTTATTTAAACAATAGCTTGCCGCCAGTTGGCAGCCAGGTGTTGGTGCACTTTGGACGTCGATAATAGCGTGGCTTTTGTCTAAGCGGTTGGGCTTTTTCGGTTATAGATTGCACTGTGTAAATACCTGGACATTCCAGGTGGCCCCGGAGGCGGGATGGGCACGCCGTAAGGGCCCGGTGACGCTCCGCGCGCGCCTCATGCCGACTGCGGCCCAAGCCGAACGGCTGCCCCACGCTGCGCGCGCACACAGCCTCTCGGCTCCTGGCGTCCCGATTCAACCCCTCTGATACAAACTCTACTTTAAGCCCATTGCATTCGGCTCGTTTTCATGTGCAGCTATCCCGCGAGACCTTCTCGTATGTAGGCGACGGCCCGTCTTCCAGACGACGACATTCCGCGGTAATAGAACGACACGATTACGGTAAAATTACGTACCGTAAGCAGAATTGGGATGCGGAGCTTGAATAACACATATCGATCTTTATTCGTGCTATCGTCCGTTTTGTTTCTACTTTTGTTGCGGAAGAATACATCCATAAGGTTCGTTGACTTCACGTGCACTTTCGTATGCTACGGGTAAACGAATACGTCTAAAATTGGGAACTCTCTTTTCAGGTTGGCAACTGACATCAATATGGCTGGGTTCCAGAAAATAAGTTATTACAAACTCCACTTTACGTGATTTCAGTTTAGAAACAAAATTATAAATCATTTTCAAGTAAGAATGGTTAAATGTAATCTCCATAGGAATTATATTATTCCTTAGAGGCATAAATTCCTTACATCATAATTCTTCATCAGTATAATTATTCCAAAACTTTTTTAAAGCTTATGACTTGAAGTAAATAAGACAAGTAAAATATTGTTAATGTTTTAAAAAACATCATTTTTTTTAATTTCTTATATTTTATTGTTAATGTATGATGGTATATTTTCATAATACCATCATACATTAACAATTACTTTTATTAAATTACTTATACTTCAAATTTGGCGATTCCAATTACATTAAGGTACAACTCAAAAGTTATAATAAAATTAAAGCACTTCTCCACAGTAAGACCTCAATGAAACCGATGCCTAAAGCATTAGTTTATTTGAATAAACCTGGCTGCATGCCTATGACCGAGAATACTGAAAAAAGTTCGAAAAGTTGGTTAAAACTTGAAATTAAGCTTAACGATAAAATTTACAAATGTCTTATAATAAACGATAAACTTAAGTTTTGCTTTTGGATTGTGTTTATTTGGTGTCGAATTTTTTTTCGTTAAGAAGGAAAAATTATACCGTCGAAGTGGCCGCCGACAGAATTGATGACCATACAAGCCTGATTTATGGCATTTTCTATCACTCTTGCCAAAACTTCTGGCTATAGGTTCCTGCATTCCTGACGGATATTCTCTTTGTGGGCTTTAAGAATCTGAACCTTGTAGATACTCATGATTTCAAACCCCACAGAAAAAAATCTACGACGATTACATCTGGCGATCTTGCCGGCCAGTGCAAATCACCAAAATGAGAGATTTCTCTCTGAATTTCAGTTGTTGGTCTTACAGTATGCATGCTCCGTTGCAGTCAGGTCATAACACCGACCTGTTCTGTAGTTTGGCGAACTATGAGGTCTACCTAGGGAACAAGACTTAGTGCGCGATCAATGGTGCATCCGAGATTAGTCACGGTGGGCTGCCATTCGATGCTCTGCTCTCGGAGAACCAACAGAGGCGTTGACACAGTAGGTTGGGGGGTAGTGAATGCTGTTTTCTTATTGATGTTTATAATAACCCGCCACTTATCCAGCAGTCTCTGCATTCTGCGAATTGCTATATCGAAGAGATGATGCGAAAAACGAGCTATTATTGGCGTACAGTGCTCAACCCCTCTCATTGGTATACACCGCAGTCATGTGAAACGCAGGCATCAATGAATCGTGTTTCATAAAAAGAGCACCCTCCCAAGTATTACGCGATCATGGCTATTATTATTATTCAAGAAACAATTTTATTAGAATTTTATTACTATTTTTGTTAGTAGTGCTCATTTACTTTGTTAGTATAAGTATGAAATACGAAAAAGGCAATAGATTAAATGAGGGTTACGTCACCCATACCCACAATATTCCACACAATATGACACAGCAATGGTTGATGTATACACAATCTAGTAGGATTGTGTATACGTGTAGGCTTGCGATTATAGCCAGGATGCGATGACCACAGGCCCGCACCCTGCGTACCAGTGATGCGCACCGCTATCGTATTATTGCCTTAAGGCAATCTATTTGCGCTGATGAATCTACTTGAAGAGCAAGGCAGGCCCATCAGTACCCAGTCGGATCCCAACCGTCGTCACGACCAGTAAGGTCATAGAAATGTCACTAACTGCTACCTACCTCATCGATGAGTTGGCCAAAAATATCATATCGTTTATTACTAATTGAAAAAGAACACAACACAAGACAAGACAGGAAAGAACCAAACGAGATCATGCAGCTGACTCCTAAGTTCGATGGCGGAACCGCCGGTGTAGAGCCTCTTGAAGTCAAAGCCTTAATTAAAAGCTGTATCAAAAAAGAGATGGCTGAAATAAAAACGAAACTCAAAAAAACCTACCTATACTTAGGCCGCAAAGGTATCCATTGCCACACCACTGGAATAGCATTGATCTCATCCGTAAGAGGGCCATAAAAGGAAACTGCATACCTTAATGACACTGCAAATTGCTTGCTTTTGCTTTTTCGTACTACACTTATATTAAATTTGAACTGAAGTATGTTATAACATCAGAAAAGTAATTTTTCAGCGTTTTAGTAGGGCGACGCAACAGTCCATCGGGTAAGTATCACGATCTCTCAGAATACCGTCTAGACCAGGGTAGAAGCCTTGAAAAATAATAAAAAGTGAAAAAAAATAATAGTAGGATGAAACCTATTAGTAAAGGAGGGAAATATTATAAAAATGAAAGGAAAAATAATTTACGGGCGATCTGAGGTCGGGAAGGGGATGGGGGTGAGTTTTTAAGGGTAAAAAATGGTTTTTCTCGATTTCCGGCAAAACTAAAAGTCGTATCGAAAAAAGTCAAATGGCAAAGTTGTAGGTAATAAAAAGATCTAAAACTTTTGTATTAACACTTTTTTCACATAACCTCAAAATTTATGTGAAAAATCCAAAAAACCAAGTTTTTGGTTTTTTATTTTTATCTTTTACAAAAAAAATTTTTTTTTAACGAAATTTGGTGAAAACTTACTTTTTTATGTCCCAAATACGCTGTAATTTATTTGATTAAAAACATTTATTTTTTCACCTTATTTTGAATTAATATCAAAAAAACACCCTAATTTTCAATCGAAAATTCACCCGTCAAAATATCAGCTTTTTTCAAAAAGTTGGTATGGTTTCTGTTCGTTGAAATCTCTACTTTCCGATGGTGAAAAAAAAAATATATGTTACTACAGTAAATCTTCTCAGAAAATGCAAAAAATAGAGATAGTATTTACCTACCTTTTTTTAAGTAAACTTGTCACAATTATCTTCAAGAAACTCAGCGTGCACGTGTATTTTTATAAACGATGTTGTATACTGTACTGTATTTCGAATACTGGTTAGGCTAACGGTTGTAACAGCTGCTACGAAATATATAGTATATAATAGTAGGTATGTATGTAGTAAGACCTAGACCCGCCTAGCCCCTTCCCCACTTCTCCACGAAATACCTTTTGATGGGCTACAATTTTTCGTAGGTCACTCAGGTATATCTACTCAGGTATATATAATTTATCTTTAAATAGTTATAAATAGGCATTTACGCATATAATTTAAAGAAGATTCGACAACTTTCTCCAAATATTGTAGATGTCTTATTAAATATTAATTTTATTAACTTATTTGTTTGTTAATTATAGTAGTATATTTTTATTTGCAATTTTTTTGTTATCAATGTCACATGTAATCTAACGTTTTTCGAGTAATTAAAGTGTAAATTTTAATAAATAGCTCAAAATTATTTATAATAATTAAAAAAAATTTTTCGAATTCAAGTGTTTTGGGATTTTTTGCATTTTCTGAGAAGATTTACTGTAGTAACATATATTTTTTTTTCACCATCGGAAAGTAGAGATTTCAACGAACAGAAACCATACCAACTTTTTGAAAAAAGCTGATATTTTGACGGGTGAATTTTCGATTGAAAATTAGGGTGTTTTTTTGATATTAATTCAAAATAAGGTGAAAAAATAAATGTTTTTAATCAAATAAATTACACCGTATTTGGGACATAAAAAGGTAAGTTTTCACCAAATTTCGTTAAAAAAAAAATTTTTTTTGTAAAAGATAAAAATAAAAAACCAAAAACTTGGTTTTTTGGATTTTTCACATAAATTTTGAGGTTATGTGAAAAAAGTGTTAATACAAAAGTTTTAGATCTTTTTATTACCTACAACTTTGCCATTTGATTTTTTTCGATACGACTTTTAGTTTTGCCGGAAATCGAGAAAAACCATTTTTTACCCTTAAAAACTCACCCCCATCCCCTTCCCGACCTCAGATCGCCCGTAAATTATTTTTTCTTTCATTTTTATAATATTCCCCTCCTTTTCTAATGGGTTTCATCCTACTATTATTTTTTTTGGTTTTAAAAATTATCGACCCTGGTCTACGTCGTCGAGTAGAGAGTGTTATACTTCTGCGTGTCGTCTGGTAAATGAGGTAGACGGGGCTCTGTTTATTAAAAGGTGGTAACGCATTTCAACCCTACGGGAGTTACAAATGTCCATGGGCAGCGGTTATCAAACTACTAAACTACTAAATAGCTGTTCACTATCGATCCCTCTTGATGGGGCTAAAAGTAGTTTATTAGGACCACGATCTCGGCCATGACCGCTCTCAGTCTCGGACTTAGAACTGGGTCTAATTTTTAGCCGAGACTGGAACCGAGATCGAGATTTATTTATTTATTCAACAGGTTCACAAACATTAGTTCACATATGATTATTAAATATCAAAGATAAAATTATAGTTAATTAAATATGGGATCTTGTATCTTGTAATGAACTGATGTTTGTGCTTTCAGTCCCGAGACTATTAAATCTTCATCTGACGCAGAACCGGTGGGTTAACCAGAACCTACGGGTGCTCATGCGCTCATGCGTGCGTTTAAGTATGGTGTGTCATCTAAGGGCCATCGAGGTCGCGGTTCGGGCCGAAACCCCGATGGCCGTCGACTGTGCAATTAGCTACTCGGTGGCTGGGAGCGGTGAGAACCGTCCCGGAACGCGGGTGTACCTTGTGTACGCGTTGTTGGTCTCGCCGTGCTCGGAGGCGAGGGCGAACTAGTATGTTTGTTGTTGCACTAATTGTGGGTGTAGTGTTATCCGGCGGGACCCCCGGCGGTGGGTCCGG